CAATGCCTGGGTGGGATCCCACGCAGGATGTGTCAGAGGTTCCGGGTGTTAAAAGCAACTAGAGGCATCCCTCAAATGAAAATCGCTGTTGATCACCATCCTGTCTTGCCAAGAAGGCAGGCCTGCCATAAAAGGCCCCATAGGAGAGTTGCTAGCATCACCCCCAAACCTTTCCCTACTGCATTCTAGGCTATAGATGGGTGCCTGGCATATGGACCAAAATACCGTGCTTTGGAGGTCATGCCTCGAAGGTCAAGCCTTATTTTACCTTGTCTTGAAAAACCCGCCGTTTTTAACCCGTGGAAAACACTAGAAAAGTTTTACAGGGGGAAATTACCCAATTTTGTAGTTTAAGTAGTTAGTAGAGGACACTGACAGAAAACAGTTAAGATAGAAATCCATCATGGCCTAAGGGACATTCCAACACACGCAGTATTTACAGCCAACTTGTCTAGGAAACGTGCTGGTTGGGTTTTAATTCAATCAGGTACTGGTTTCGGCCAGCTCCCAGTGGCGTTCTCACAGCCAGAAGCGAGTAAACCAGAGATGTGGAGGGGATCACATTAGACCAATGAAGAGGAAACCTCACATGGGAGTCAAGATTGGCAGCCGTCCTGCTGACTTAGCTAGCCGTCCCATGCCCAAGACAGACAACTTTGCATAAGGACAGGAATAAAGAGAGGGCATCAAGTTTCTGGGTCTTATTACCATTCCAGTCATGGTACTAACTTCCAGCCAAAAGACAGTCTTTCTCCTCCTTGAAGAGAGGCAGTGGGCTGGAGGATTGTAGCCTGAGCAATCGACATGACGGTGTGCCAATAAGACCGTACTCCCTGAAAAGCCCCTGAAATGAGAGTAAAGGAAGAGGAGAGAAACTACTCACCAAGTTTGCACCAAAACCCAGTCCAGATTAAAAGACTCAAAGCCCCACATTTGGGTGCCAAATGATGTAGTTTTGGAATGTTGATGAGGTCCAGAGCCGACAGCTAAGAAATAATTCCTGAGATGTCTTTGGTGCAAAAAGGTATTTTATTAAGCACGGGGACAGGACCCATGGGCAGAAAGAGCTGCTGCACAAGGCGGGGTGGGCTGGTGGGGGGCGGGGAACGGTGTATGAGGACTGGCTGGTTATATACTTGAGAGTTGGGAGAGGTAAGGAAAAAGGGAGGTGTCCAAAAGGAATTTCATATGCTAAAGAAGACCCTGAGGATCCTGGACTCCTTGCTATTATCAAGCTAATATTGTATTTTCTTCTAGCAGAGCATTAACCTTAAGATAGTTGGAAGTTTCCTGGAGGAATGTCACACATTATCATACCCTGGGGGGGGGGGGTTGTGAGGTGTTAGTTTGTGCTTTCTCCTCAGCTTGGCTTGTGCTCCCTCAAGACTAATAAGACCCTTCTGTCCCCAAAATAAGGTGACTTCACCTGACATAATCCTTTTTTTTCTGTTTATGACATACTTGTCCTTTTTTTTTTTTTTTAAGATTTTATTTATTTATTTGACAGAGAGAGAGACAGCGAGAGAGGAAACACAAGCAGGGGGAGTGGGAGAGGGAGAAGCAGGCTTCCTGTCGAGCAGGGAGTCCGATGCGGGGCTCGATCCCAGGACCCCGGGATCATGACCTGAGCCAAGGCAGACGCTTAACGACTGAGCCACCCAGCCGCCCCATACTTGTCCTATCTTTAAAAACCTTTCCCTTTCTGTAGAGCTTTGGAGCTGTGCTCTACTTGCTAGATGGATGCTGCCCAATTCACAAATCAATGAATAAAGCCAGCAAACCTTTACAACGGGATGGGTTGAATTTTTGTTGCGTGACAGGAACTAATCTATTGTTCCCACTAATCCTACTGAAACTTATGAAACTGACTGTAACACCTCAGGGCGCAAACATTTGAGGAGCAGCAACATCTTTCCACCTCCGCACAGACTCTTTTATTTCTGAAGTACTTCAAGGGATGATTTGTCATTTACCTCAGCAAAGGAATATGGGAGCATCTAAAATAGTAGTTTTCTCTGGAAGCTGACTGACATTCACGGAGTCTGAAAGCATAGCTCTTCTCTGCCTTTAACGAGGAGCAAATGCCGTCCCCCCGGCGAGGAGCAGCGCTTTCCCGCGTCCCTCAGGGCGCCACGTGACCACAGCTCGGCAACTCCAGGGGGGGGCACCCCCTGCCGGAGACCGCCAGAGCTCCGGGAGCCGCCCCACCCGGAAGAGCCCGGCCCGCGGACGCGGCGAGCAGCCAATGAGGGAACAGCACACGGCGTTTCCAGGCGAGCGCAAGCCCCGGGGGCGGGACTTCCGGTCTCATCCGCCAGGAGGTCTCTCTGCCTCAGGTTGGGTCTGTTTGTCCCGTAAGCTGCCGGAGCGCGCGTCAGGCTCCGGTGACCGGCCGTGAAGACGCGAGGGGAGGCGCTGTCCTCGCCGCACGCGGTCGAGTCCGGGTGTCCGCCCACCTCCGGCCTCGCTCGGCCCAGCGAGTCCGATGGCGGCGGCCGCGCGCAGGGGCCCGGCTCCGGTAAGCGTCGTCCCCGCACCCAGACCCCCGCGGCCCAGGCCCCGGCGTCCGGGACAGGCGGGCGGCGGCGGGCGGGGGCCCCGTGCGGGAGCGGGCTCCGGGCCGAGGGCGGCCGGGGCCGAGGCGGGAGGGGGCCGCGCCAGCGGCGGGCAACAGCAGCTCGCCGTCCTTCCTGTCGGGAGCGCAGTGCCGCGCGGCCGTGAGGCCCGTCCCCTCGCTGCCCGAGAAGCCCGTCTCTCCTGGCGGGCGTGAGGTGGGCTCGGCCGGGTGTGAATAGGCGTTCTCCGGCCGCCAGAGGGGAGAGCCCGCCGCGGGGCTAAGCGAGGAGGCAATGGCAGGAGTCGGTGGCACTGTCCGCGGACTGCTGCTCGGCCCGCCTCGGATGTCGGAGGACTGGTGGACTCCTGGGGTACGTTCTGAGAAGGGCTACGGCAAAGGGTGGGTGTTGCAGGTGAGGAGAGAAGGGGGAGCGAGGGAGGCCCCGGGGCTTCGGGTCCGTGACCCTAAGAACGAAGCAAGAGCGGACAGTTATTTTACCCGCACGAACGGGTTTCTGTGGAGACGGAAGAGAAGTGCAGTTTGGAACGGAGAAGCGGAGTCCAAGCAGTAGGTCGGCGCGGAGGGCAAGAGGGGTGGTCTTTCTTTTATTTTTTTAAAGATTTTATTTATTTATTCATGAGAGAGAGAGAGAGAGGGGCAGAGGGAGAAGCAGGCTCCCGCGGAGCACGGAGCCCGATGCGGGGCTCGATCCCAGGACCCTGGGATCATGACCTGAGCTGAAGGCAGACGCTTAACCGACTGAGCCACCCAGGCGTCCCGGGAGGTAGTCTTTCTTAAGGGGAAGGAGGCGAAGTTGGGAAGGCTGTTACAAACTGCAGGTACACTGGAGTGAAAGTGGGAGTTGCGGCTTCTCATTGGCTGAGCTGTTGGGTGGGGCGGCCAGGACAGACTCTTTTTGGGTCTGGGGTAATGAAGTAGTATCCCATATAAATAAGGTCAAGTCCCTCTTTTGCTGTTAGGTTTGCAGTCCAACAAGGAGTAGTGCCTGAGAGCTCCCCGCCCCCTCAAGCCTGCAACCTCCTGATACCATTTTAGTGAGGTTTCCCACTGTTAATATACGCAGGTCCTAGTAGCGGAAGAGATGGAAGCTTCCATCAACCTGATGAAGTCAGCAGTAGGTGAACTGTCCTTGGGGATACCCAGGGTTTTTGACGTTGTTTACGATCTCTGATGTTTCAGAGAAGTGTGATTGATGGTATCAAGTGGGCAGCTGGACAGGAAATTTTGGGAAACTGGGGGAAAGTTTCATGATGGAGGGTTTGAAAAGTGATGGCTGCTGTGTGGCCCGGGTGGAGATCTGGATCACATTTAGGAAGGGAATGCAGAGTATCATGGTAATACTGCTAGTAGGTCAGAGGGTCCTAGTAAAGTCTGCAGAAGAGTGGTTTTCTTCCTCAGCATGTGGTTGGGGTTGCTGGGCATTGTGAACACAGGTGAAGGAGAGAGAATGATCTGGCAGAAACATGGGCAAGCCTTCCATGGGATGATCGGAAAAGAGATGGCTGAGAACTTCTAAGATTAATTGAGACAAGATGACAGTGAGGCTGGGGCAGCTGTTTATTGAGTGCTGTAGGCTTCACCAGAACTTTGTGGTCAGCTTTTATGGTGTCTGGGGTATTTCAAAGTCTTGCTGCTGGAAAAGGTCTGGAGAAATGTGGTCATTTCTGCTTTGCTCTGCCTTTAGTGCTGGGGTTTTCAGAAAGGTTTGGAGGAGGGTGGTGGGTTCTGATTGTTGATGGACAATATGGGCGGCATAGAAGTAGATGGTCTGTGAGTATCCAAAGTAGACATGTGGTTGGGAGTGTTATTGAAGGGAGGATTACAGGCAGGTGAGGAGGGCTTCTCAGCAGCATTTGAGGGTTTCCCTCATTTGGGATCCCTGAGAGTCCTGGGGTGGGACTGGAACCTGTTTGAGTTTGTCAAACATCCTTTGGATGTCATGTGACAAGCACAAGTGTGAGTCAAGGGAGGATCCTTTGGTGTGGGGAGGAAGGTGTGGGAGTTCATCTGTGGGGCCTGAAGACGTGAGAGTGGTACAGTCTACAGAATCCTGTACACATGGAGGGGAAGTGTGAGCTAAAGGCCTCAGCGCCCAGGTACTGAAGACTTCCGGGTAAAGCAGGGCCTATAATTGGCTGTCTTGAGGGCACAGCATGGGAGACTCCATGGGAATATCGGGGCAGAGGGATGGGACCTTGCAGGCCAAACCCAGAGCTTAGAGTGCATCCATGTGTCCCCCTGCCTGTTACTGCTGAGGACTGAACACAGTGATTGATGGGAAGGTGAGAGGAGAGCAGCATTAAAGGTACCAGGACCTGGTATTTATTCTGAGGTGGGGAGACTGGGGTGGATGTGGCGGGGGTTGGATTATGTGTTCTCAGAGAGAGAATGTTCATGGTTTCATCTGTCCCTTTCATGGTAGGGTGGTGTGACTTTTGAGGACATTGCCGTGTACTTCTCCTGGAAGGAGTGGAGGCTTCTTGATGAGGCTCAGAGACGGCTCTACCACCATGTGATGCTGGAGAACTTTACACTTATATCCTCACTGGGTAAGGCCCTCAGCCTCCCCTTTCATCTGGACTAGACTCTGTGCTCCCGAGTCCCCCCTCTGCATTTTCCAGGGGATGGTTAGTCCTTCTCTCGTGTGGACTGTGGGCACTGCTTGCTTCCCCAGCTTTCTGGTTAGTTGCTTTTGTTGCTAGCTCTGAGTTGTTGGTGTGCCCTTTTCTCTGCCCTGCAGCTCCCAGTACCCTCTGTGCTGAGCCCTGATTGGATAAGATTAGAGGTCAGTGGTCATGCCGTGAGGCTGATGGATCGCACCTTGCTTGCCCTCTCCCTGGCTGGGTCCATGTGTTCAGATCCGTGCCATTTCTGTGGCCCAGGTTTTGAACCCTTCCTTTAGGTGCCATTTCCCTGTGCCTGCCTGTGCCTGAAATTGCAGGCATTGGCATGTTTACTACTTAAGTGGGCCATGGGTTACTTCTCAAGACTGTCCTCTGTGGTTCTTTCAGTAGTGTTTACATCTCTTCTTCTACCTGCCTCGCTTCATTCATCTTTGTGAGGTATGATTGACAAAATTATATTATTGAAATTATATTACATAATAATTTGATATATACATTATGAAATTAGTGTAATTTTTTTAGATTTGTTTATTTGAGAGAGAGTGAGAGAATGCGTGTGCACGTGTTCATGAGCAGAGAGGAAGGGAAAGGAAGAGAGAAACCCAAGCTGACTCCATGCTGAGCGGAGAGCCTGAGGCAGGGCTCAGTATCACTACCCTGAGTCTAAACCCGAGTTTAGACATCACAACCTGAGACTAAACCAAGAGTTGGACACTTAACCGATTGTGCCATCCAAGCGGCCCCAAATTATGAAGTTATCATCAAAATGAAGCTAATCACATCACCATTACTTGACAAAATTACCTTTTTTGTTGGTGGTGGTTCGAAAGCTTAATATCAACCCTGTTAACAAATGTCAAGTGTACAATGTAATATTAGCAACTGGAGTCAATATGCTGTACATTAGATCCTCAAACTTATCTTGGAAATGAAGGTGTATATCCCTGACCAACATCTCCGCATTCTTTCAGTCCTTAGGTTCTGGCATTCTACTCTCTGTTTCTATAAGTGTGATTTATTTCTTTTGTTAAAGATTATCCATATAAATGATACCATACAGGGTTTATGTTTTGCTGTGTGGCTTCGTTGACTAGCATAATGTTTTCTAGACTCATCCATGTTGTGACAAGTCGCACTACTGCCTTCTTTTTTATCGCTGAATATTCCTGTGTGTGTGTGTGTGTGTACTAAATGATCTTTGTCACTTTATTTCATTTATTTATTCATTTAAATACAATTTGTTTATTTATTTATTTATTTATTTATTTATTTAAAGATTTTATTTATTTAAGAGAGAGAGAACATATGAGAGGGGATAGGGTCAGAGGACGAAGCAGACTCCCTGCCGAGCAGGGAGCCCGATGCGGGACTCGATCCCGGGACTCCAGGATCATGACCTGAGCCGAAGGTAGTCGCTTAACCAACTGAGCCACCCAGGCGCCCTACAATTTATTTTTCTATTTTATATTTTTTACATAGACTGTGCCCAGTGTGGGATTTGAACTCATAACCCTGAGATCAAGAGTCACATGCTCTACCAACTGAGCCAGCCAGGCATCCCTTCTTTGTCACTTTATTTTTTATTGATTTATTTTTTAAAGATTTTATTTATTTATTTGAGAGAAAGAGAGAGCACAGGCAAGGGGAAGGAGCAGAGGGAGAGGCAGGCGCTTAACTGACTTAGCCACCCAGGCGCCCCCTTTCTTTGTCACTTTAAACACTCACACACACTTAATGATGTTTCCATATATTGGCTATGAGAACAATACTGCAGTGGATATGCATGTTCAGATACGTTGTGGAGATACTGATTTTGTTTCCTTGGGATACATACCTAGAAATGGCAGTGGTGGACTGACTATATGGTAGTTGTATTTTCAGTTTTTGGTGGATCTCCCTAATGTTTTCCATAATGATTTCCCTATTTACGTTCCCAGCAGCAGTATTCAAATGTTATTTTTTCTGCACATCCTGACCAAGATGTTACCTCTTGTTTTTTTGGTAATAGCCACTGTTAACACGTAGGAGGTGATATCCTGTGGTTTTGGTTTTCATTTCCCTGAAGATTTGTGATTGTGAGCACGTGTTAGTCACTTGTACATCCTTTTCACACTTGTGTTTTACTTTTTTTCTTTTTTAAAGATTTTATGTATTTATTTGACAGAGAGAGAGAATTAGCGAGAGTAGGAACACAAGCAGGGGGAGTGGGAGAGGGAGAAGCAGGCCTCCCGCCGAGCAGGTAGCCCGACGCAGGGCTCGATCCCAGGACCCTGGCATCGTGACCTGAGCCAAAGGCAGACGCTTAATGACTGAGCCACCCAGGCGCCCCAACACACTTGTGTTTTTCATTGGCTCTGGTGCAGCTTTTCAATTTGATATAGTGGTATTTGTTAGTTTTTGCTTTTGTTGTGTATGCTTTATTTTTTTTTTTTTAAGATTTTATTTATTTATTTGAGACAGAGAGAATGAGAGACAGAGCATGAGAGGGAGGAGGGTCAGAGGGAGAAGCAGACTCCCTGCCGAGCAGGGAGCCCGATGCGGGACTCAGTCCCGGGACTCCAGGATTATGACCTGAGCCGAAGGCAGTCGCTTAACCAACTGAGCCACCCAGGCGCCCTGTTGTGTATGCTTTAGATGTCATATTCAAAAAATCATTGGCAGGAATAAGGTTAAGGAGGCTTTTCCCTATTTTTTTTTCCTAGGAATTTTAGGGTTTGAGGTCATCTGTTTAAGTCTTTAATCTATTTCAATTTCATTTCCATGTGTGCTATAAGATGGCAATCCAGGATCCTTGTTTTTTCATTTGGATATTCAGATTTCACAACAGTATTTTATTTTATTATTATTATTATTTTTTAATATTTATTTATTTTATTTTATTTTATTATTATTATTTTTTAAAGATTTTATTTATTCATTTGAGACAGAGAGAATGAGAGACAGAGAGCATGAGAGGGTGGAGGGTCAGAGGGAGAAGCAGACCCCCCGCTGAGCAGGGAGCCCGATGCGGGACTCGATCCCAGGACTCCAGGATCATGACCTGAGCCGAAGGCAGTCGCTTAACCAACTGAGCCACCCAGGCGCCCTAATATTTATTTATTTTAGAGAGAATCTCAAGCAGACTCCAAGCTTAGCACAGAGCCCGATGTGGGACATGATACCACAACAATGAGATCACAACCTTAGCCAAGACTAACAGTCAGACGCTTAACCGATTGTGCCCCCCAGGTGCCCCCTCATTTTTTAAAATGAAAACATATTTTATTTATTTGAAAGAGAGAGCAGGGAGGGGCTAAGGGGGAGAGAGAGGGAGAAAGAATCTGAAGCTGACTCTGCACTGACCTGGAGCCCTATGTGGGCTTGATCACCACGACTGTGAGATCATGAACTGAGCCAAAACAAAGAGTTGGAATCAACAGACTGAGCCACCCAGGTGCCCCTCAATATATTTGAAAGGTTCATTTATTTGTTTGGGAGAGAGAGGTAAAGAGATCACCGCAGGGAGGGAGTAGGGGAGAGGGAGATAGACAATCCCAAGCAGGCTCTGACCCTGAGATCACAACCTGAGCCAAAACTAAGAGTTATAGCTCAACCAACTGTGCCCCAGGCTCCCCATAGATTTCACAGCATTTTTTTTTTTTTTAAGATTTTTTTGTTTTTTATTAGGGAGAAAGTATAAGCAGGGGGAGCGGTAGGCAGAGGGAGAGGGAGAAGAAGGCTCCCTGCTCAGCAGGGATCCCCATGTGGGGCTCGATCCCAGGACCCTGGGATCATGACCTCAGCCGAAGGTCAGGTCATGCTTAACCGACTATGCCACACAGGCGCCCCAGATTTCACAACATTATTAAAGAGATTACTCTGCCCTAGTGTAGATTTTTGGCATAATTTTCAAAGATGAGTTCACTATATATATGTGCATTTACTTTTGGGCTCTTTATTCTATTGCCCTAGGATTATTACTGGTTTATGTGCCAGTACCCTGTTGTTTTGAATACTATAGCTTTGTAATCTAGTTTGAAATCATAAATGTGCTGCCTTCAGCTTTGATCTCTCTCACTATTGCTTTGGCTTTAGCCTTTGGTTGACTTGGTGGCAGGGGTGCCAGTGTCCCCTGTGGAGCTGGCAGCCGGAGTCTGTGCTGAGCAGGGACTGCAGGAGCACGCGCCCTGTGGCTGATGGAGGTAGCCCCAGCCCTTATTTCCCACCTACCCCACAGTCTCTGCTACAGCAGGCTCCAGTTATCTTTCCTGTGTGCTTGTGCCCTTCTTTATGCTCCACTGTGCCTACTTAGTCTTAATGGCACTGTTGAGCTCGCTGAGGTAATGCCGTGATTTTTGTTGCCGTGAAGGATGGTATCTCCTATTCTCCCATCCTGCTGCCATCAGTCACATAGGATGTTTTTCTGTGTCTGCTCTCCTGAGTAGCTCTGGGACAGTTTGGTTGTCCACGTGCCCTGTTTTCCTTCAGTATTTCTATCCTCCTGGTATCTTGTAGTTGCTCAGGAGGGCTTATAGGGAGGAGTCCTTTGTGTGTCATAGCATGGACATTCTCCACACATGACCAGGTGGGCTCACAGGGGCTCTGTTTCTGGTGAATAGAAGCTGGGGAAGGGGTGATATCAGGCCTGTGTTCAGAACATACCGGGCACCTTTGTTTGTTCAACCAGAATTTGGTGTGATTGCCAATGGCCACACCCCGTTTCTGTCTTTCCTTCTTCATTGTTGACAGTTTGTGGACTTCTGAATTCTACTCTTTGGTAATTCCATGACGTCCAGTATAGGGGTAATTAATGCATCTTGGGCATTCACGTCTCACAAATTTCTCTCACTACTATTTCTGTGTAGTCTAACATTCACCCCTGAAAGTTTTACCATGACATATTCACATGCACTTAAAGTGATATTGAACAGCAGCAAATTTATTGGGATTGGATTTTCCTTCAGCCTTGTACTTAGACAGATATCACCAGCAGAATTAGTCCTACGCTAACTTGTGGGAAGAGAAGTAAGGTTTCGACCCTGGCTCTCTTCCTTCTGTCATACCCTAGTTTCCTATTCTTTTAGTGAGCTCTCCACATTACTTTGACTATCAGGACCCAATAATGCACAGCAACCACTCCAGCTGTTTTCCATCTCCAGGGTCTGGAAAAGCATGCCTAGGTGAGACCCATGCATATTATGTGATGGGCTCACCCCTTCACTATTGTCAACACAAATTTCACCAGCGCTTCTTTGCCTTCAGGTTGTTGCTGTGGAGCAGAGGATGAGGAGGCACCCTTTGCCCAGAGCACTTCTGTAGGCGTGTCACAGACCAGGACGCCCAAGGCAGCTCAGTCTTGCCGGAAGACCCACCCCTGTGAGATGTGTGGTTCAATCTTGAGAGACATTTTCCACTTGGCTGCGCACCAGGGAAAAGAAAACAGCCAGAGACTGTTGAGGTGTGGGGCCTGTGGGAAACGATTTTATTTCAGTGTAAAGTCTCAGCAGCAGCAGGAGCAGCACGTGGGAGCAGAATCCTTCAGAAGCCGTGTGGACAGGGCCTCTGTTGTGAAGAGCTGGGGATTCCATGGTTCAGGAAAGCCCCTTACCTGTGGAGAAGTTCAGAAGGACTTCCTGTCTGGCTCGGGGCATCTGCAGCAAGAGGCCACTCGTACTGGGGAGAAGCCACACACGATCACCCAGTGCAGGGCAACTTTACAAAGCAGAAAAAGTCATGATACTTGGGGAGAATGCAAGAATGCGTTTGGTCCCACACATTCGCACGTTCAGGACCAGGGTGTCCACCTTGGAAGATGGTCCTTTGTGTGCAGTAAATGTGGGAAAACATTCAGGTATAAATCTTTATTTGCTATACACCAGACGTTCCATACTGGAGAAAGAGGTTATAAGTTTAGCAAATACGGAAAATTCCTTAGGCATTGGTCAGCTTGCAGTCAACATGAAAAGACTCATACTCTGCTCAAGCAGTACATGTGCAGCAAATGTGGGAAATCCTTAAGCCAGAAATCTGGCCTCATTCATCCCCAGAGATGGCACAATGGAGAAAAGAGTTATGTTTGCAGTGGATGTGCAAAATCTTTTATCCACAGATCAGTGTTGATTACTCATAGGGTTCACCCTGGAGAAAGGTTTTATAAGTGTCGTGGCTGTGCAAAATCTTTTTCTACTATGTCTGCCCTTGCTTATCATCAGAGATCTCACACTAGGGAAAGACCTTATGAGTGCAGTGAATGTGGGAAATCTTTTACCACTTGTTCTAACCTCCGTTGTCACCAGAGAGTTCACACTGGAGAAAGGCCCTATGAGTGCAGTGAATGTGGCAAGTCCTTTGTCCGAAGAAATATCCTCAAACTACACATAAAGATTCACTCAGGTGAAAGGCCTTACAAGTGTAACGAATGTGGGAAATCTTTTAAGTGGAAGTCAGCATTGATTAAACACCAGAGAATTCACACAGGAGAAAGGCCTTATGAGTGCAGTGAATGTGGGAAATCTTTTAGCACTAAGTCTGTCCTCCATGATCACCAAAGAGTTCACACTGGAGAAAGGCCTTATGAGTGCAATGACTGTGAGAAATCTTTTACCACCAAATCGGCCCTCCATTATCACCAAAGAGTTCACACCAGAGAGCAGCCTTATGTGTGCAGTGAATGTGGCAAGTCGTTTGTCCAAAGAAGTAGCCTCAATATACACATAAAGGTTCATTCAGGTGAAAAGCCTTATAAGTGTAATGAATGTGGGAAATTTTTGAAGTGTAAGTCAACACTGATTAAACACCAGAGAATTCACACAGGAGAAAGGCCTTATGAGTGCAGTGAATGTGGGAAATCCTTTGCCACTAGTTCTGTCCTTCATTCTCACCAGAGAGTTCACACTGGAGAAAGGCCTTATGAATGCAGTGAATGTGAGAAATCTTTTACTGGCATTTCAGGACTCCACTATCATCAGAGAGTCCACACTGGAGAGAAACCTTATGAATGCAGTGAATGTGGCAAGTCCTTCGTCCAAAAAAGTAGCCTCAATGTACACAAAAAGGTCCACTCAGGTGAAAAGCCTTACAAGTGTAATGAATGTGGGAAATCATTGAAATGTAAGTCAACATTTGTTGAACACCAGAGAATTCACACAGGAGACCGGCCTCATGAGTGCCATGATTGTGGGAAATCTTTTACGTCTAGGTCTACCCTTCGTTCTCACCAGAGAGTTCACACTGGAGAACGGCCTTATGAATGCAGTGACTGTGGGAAGTCTTTTACCACTACTTCTCACCTTCGTTCTCACAAGAGAGTTCACAATAGTGAAAGGCCTTATGAATGCAGTGAATGTGGCAAGTCCTTTTGCCGAAGGAATAGTCTCAATGTACACATCAAGATTCATTCGGGTGAAAGGCCTTACAAATGTAATGTATGTGGGAAATCTTTGAACTATAAGTCGACGTTCATACAACACCAGAGAATTCACACAGGAGAAAAGCCTTATCTGTGCAGTGAATGTGGGAAATCTTTTAGTTACAGCCGCGCCCTCCGGTATCATCGTCAAAGTCACCTTGCAGTAAGTCCTTATGATTGTAGTGATTGTGGGAAATCTTTTACTTGTAGTTCTTACCTCCGTGATCACCAGAGAGTTCACACTGGAGAAAGGCCTTATAAATGCAGTCACTGTGGGAAAACTTTCACTTCTCGTTCCCTCCTCCGTTCTCACCAGAGATTTCACACTGGAAAAAGGCCTTATGAGTGCAGAGAATGTGGCAAGTCCTTCTTCCAAAGAAGTGCCCTGAATGTACACATAAAGGTTCACTCACGTGAAAAGCCTTATAAGTGTAATGAATGTGGGAAATTGTTGAAGTACAAGTCGACATTCATAATACACCAGAGAATTCACACAGGAGAAAGACCTTACGCTTGCAGTGAATGTGAGAAATCTTTTATCAGTTATGGTGCTCTCAGTTACCATCACAGAGTTCACATTGGAGAAAGACATTAAGAGTACCGGGGATGTGGGAAATCTTTCAGCTAAATTTCCAGTCTCATTCAAGATGAGAAAGTACGCAGTAAATAGTGTCTTTATGGGTAGTAACATGAACTAAATGGTTCTGTTCACTGATGTTAATATGTTGACTCCCTGTCCTGTAATGCAATAGGAGTAGCAGGTGATGTCTTTGGGAGGTAATTGATACTAGAATGGATCATGTGTGTGAATTCCTAATGAATGGTTTTAATGTCTTCTAAGTATTCTGAGACAGCTTGCTTCCCCTATCAATCATGTGAGGACCCTTTGGGGAGATCTATAAATCCGGAAGCTGGTCCTCACCAGACACAAAACCAGACCGTATGGGGAATGTTATGGGACATATCCAGTCTCCAGAAGTGAGAAATTTCTGTTGCTTACAAGCCACCCAGTTTATCATATTTTGTGAGAGCGGCCTCAGCTAAGACACAGGTGAAGAATGTGGGTAATGTTTTGGGCAAAGATAACCGTTTCATAAAAATCCGAATTCACCTTGGAGCATGACCACATGAGTGAGGTGAAGGACACCAGTCCTTCAGCTAGACATCTGTCTTCATTCCACACTTCAGAGTTCACACTGCAGAAAGACTTTAAAATGGTGGAGAATGTGATAGTTCCTTCCTTAGTGTATTATGCTGAGGAGAACCTTATGAGGCAGCCACCTTCCTGAATTGAGTTTTGTTCACCTGCCTGTCCACAGTGGAGTGACTTCCCGTAAGTTCCAGCTATTTGGGAAAGTTCAGAAGTTGTATTGGGTGTTCTGATGTGTCTGAAGTCATTGCTGGAAGTCACTGTCAGATTCTGTGACAGAAATCATTTCACTTCTGCCACCTGGATGGTCCCAGTAACGAACATCTGTCACCACCCAGCTTAATGACGCTGACCACTTTGCTTTGTCGTTTGCTGATGGAAGTTATGGGTACTGGGATCTCCTCATTGCCTTCTAAGTTACCAGTCAGTCACCAGTCAGGGTGTTCAGGGACGTCCCTCCCCTCTGGCCTGTCAGGATTAAGGTCTCCTGCCTGTGAGGCTCCTACAGACCTCCAGGCAGCTCACAGCCCCCACAGCTGCTGTCTGCCTGGCCTTGTAAAGTGTCCTGCACACGCCAAGCTTTAGTTTTCCACCAAACACCCAAGTACAGTTTTTCAGCCCCTTGTTGACCCTCCGTACCTCTTGAGTTCTGGATGGTGTTTTGCAGAGAAAGAGTAAATATTTTAGGGACGTTGTTAGTCTCCTGAGGATTGTGATAAATCTTTGCAGCTTCTAAGTCAGCAACACAGGAATTGGGTGCTATGTGCTGCTCTGGTTTATGCATTACTAAATGCCTTTTTTGTTTAATTACCATTAGTCTTAGGTGTTAAATTCACTTTAAGGGGTGGTGTGAAATTAGAATTGAGCTCTGCCAGACATAGGAGTGAACAGAGTTCATTGCCACCCAAACTTACTGTGTCTCAGAGTGGATGATTGCAAATAAACAATACAGAGGTCAGTTCTGCTCTCCAGCTTGGGCTTTAATTTGCATTAAAACTCAAGACCTTTGTTATGGGCTGAATTCTGTACCTAACATTCATATGTTAAAGTTGTAAGCCCCAGTACCTCACAATGTGACACTGTTAGCTACAGCATCTTTAAAGAGACCAGAAGTTGAAATGGGTTATTAGGATGGACTCTTAGGCAGTATGACTGGCTTCATGATAAGAAGAGATGAGGATACAGGCACACACAGATGACCATGTGAAGAAAGGGAATCCCCAGATCTAAGCCAAGGACAGAGGCCTCAGAAGAAACTAACCCTGCTGACCCGTTAGGTCTAATTTCTAGACTCCAGATTTGTGGGAAAATAAATTTCTCTTGTGTAATCACCCAGTGTGGGGTCCTGTGTAATACCAGTTGTAGCTAATACAGCCTCCCGGGATCCACATCTGGGTTTTGTGGTCTGGATCCTAGCAAGTTTTGTGTGCTCAGAGGTCACCATGAAAAGGGAGCAGTTGAGACCATTCCAGTGGTGTGGAAACAACAGGAATATTTTGCTTCTCCACAGCTGATAGCACAGGATGCCAGGCGCTGTTGAGTGGAATCTCTACCCCAGATCCTTCAACGGAGCCTTGTGACCTGGTGTACAGTATTCACTTGTAACACCACAGGCAGGGGAACTATAATTGGTAATCTGGATGATTGGGCAATTAGGGAGCAGAGGAGACACCAGCCACCTAGGTGGTGTGTATCTCTTAAAAAAGTATCCACATGGGGCGCCTGGGTGGCTCAGTTGGTTAAGCGACTGCCTTCGGCTCAGGTCATGATCCTGGAGTCCCGGGATCGAGTCCTGCGTTGGGCTCCCTGCTCAGCAGGGGGTCTGCTTCTCCCTCTGACCCTCCCCCCTCTCATGTGCTCTCTCTCATTCTCTCTCTCAAATAAATAAATAAAATCTTTAAAAAAAAAAAGTGTATCCACAGATGTTGTAGTGACTGGCTGGGCAGGATCAGTGTGCACAGAAATTCTCCACTTTCAGACACACGTATCCTGTGTGACAGAGGTCCTTGTCATAAAATAATCCCAAAGTCTCTGAATTCTTCTATCCCCTGTGGTGCTAACATGTCAAGGCCGTTGTGACAAGTGAAGGCAGGAGAAAGGTAAAGACAAGGGAGAATTCATCCTCCAGGGATGTAGCTTTTGTGACGCTGCCCAGTCAGCATTCTTGTTGGTATCCTAAAGGACTGTGGCAGACACCTGTTCTGAAACATCCTCTTCCCAGGGTGTCTCCCAGGTACTCCCCAGCCTCTAGGGCTAAAAAAGCAGATCTTTCTGGAGGTGGTGGTGCGGAGTCCTACTCATGTTATGGTTGCTCAAGATAGTCTTCTGCCCCAAAGTCCATAAATAAACATTTCTCCTCTAGGTGGACTTCTCAGCCTTTTTCGTTGGCCTGAGGGCTGGAGGTGGTTTTGCACGTATGTCCCTTTCATTCAACAGTACTGTTTTCTTCTCTGGGTGTACCACTATTGATCTCTTCATCTGTTTGGAGGATGTGGGTTATTTCCAGTGTTTCCCTTTCACAAACAAATCCCTCTATATATTTTCATTATAATTCATTTCATTTCTGTTAAAACTCAAAGCACAATGGCTAAGTCACAGGTAGGTGAGTGTTAACATTTTCATGAAAGGGTCAAAATGGGATGTGAAGTGTTCACTATTGCATTCCCACCAGGCATGTATGAGAGCTCCAGTGTGTCCAGTCCCTGCCAGTACTTCATAGGGCGTCTAATGACAGTCCTTTTAGTAGGTGTGTAGTGCTATGTTGTAATTGTATTTCCTAAGGATTCACTTTCAGCATTTTTTTCTTGTGTTTATTTACCACCTGTATGTGTTCTTTGGTACAATTTCTGTTTGTACCATTTGCCTGTTTTCTTTGATGTGATTATGGCTAGTTCCCTTTTCAATTACAAATTAGCCATGCACACAACAAAGGTAAATGTTAAAATTTTTCTCATTCTTACATGGTGTGACATTTTTCTTTATGTTTTCATGGTACTACTAAAGGCTATTTCTCCCATTAACTACTTCAGATTTTTGTGGCCTACTCACTGTCATGGACCAAAACACTTCACGTGTTTAAGTCTAGGGTACATTCATTCCATTTATCATCATTTTCTTAAGTCCAGGCCTTTAGAAGAACAAAAATCCATCCCTGCTCTGTAGTGTTTGCCAATTTCCAGAGTGTAAATTCTCCCATTGTGAGAGTGGGATATTCTCAGAGAAGGTGCTGAATAACTATGTGGGTGTTTGGTGGAAAACCACTCACTGTGGGGGCTGTGAGCTGGCTGGAGGTCTGCAGGAACCTCACAGGCAGGGGACCTTAATCCTGACAGGCCAGAGGGGAGGGACGTCCCTGAACACCCTGACTGGTGACTGAAAATTTGGCTGGTCTCACGTTAGTAGTGACAAGGTTGTCATGTACACCCACTCAGGTCAGAGTCGCCTCCTCCGATTCCACCCAGTACACTGGGAGAAATTCTCACCGTGGGACGCCAGCCTCCAAGTGATTTAATTTCTCCTTTTTCTGTAATAGTTGACTGCTGGTCCCGAAAGAGTCGACATTCATCTGAGCATCTCACCACTGCTCTGGGCTGTGTTCCCAGGCAGCTGTCTCAGAGGAAGTCCGCTGGGCCCGGGGAGGTGATCGGTCACTGGGCACTTCCGGCCTTCCCCTGGCCTGGAAGGACTGGGAGCCAGGTGGGGCGTGGCCTCTCCCAGAAAAGACGGGGATTCCCTCCTGTTTGGGGCCTTGCCCAGAAGATCAAGAGTCAGTCCAGGCCTCCCTCTTCACCCGAAGGAGGTTCCCTACCAGAAGGAAGAGGGTCCCTGGGTCAGGTGTGTGGCAACCTGTGGAGGCCTTACCCCCCCACACACAGACACATATGTGGGATCAGGGTCTCATTTCAGAGGACATACCAGGAAGGGGCCTGCAGGGGGCCCTGGTGCCTGGTGGGAGGGCAGGGCAGAGACAGAGGAGTCACTTGGAAGTTGTTGGAAGAACCCTCTGCGTTAAGTACCTGTACTTTACTGGAGAGGAAGTTCCCACCATCAGTCCTTAAGGCAGTGCCCTGCCCAGAGCTCTGGCCATTCTTGCCCCTCAGGGACACAGCACAGTCCACAGGTGAGTCCTCCATTCTTCCCACCAGCACTATCATTACCTCTCTGGTGCTGATGGGTGTAGAAGTCTGGACTACACTCAGCGGATTAGGTTGTCCACAGTTATCTTAAGGGGAAAAAAAAAAAACCTCAGGTGCAGATTTTTCAACAAATTACGACTTTGGGGCGCCTGAATGGCTCAGTCAGTTAAGCCCTTAGGCTCGGGTCACAATCTCGGTGTCCTGGGATTGAGCCCTGCTTTGGGCTCCCTGCTTAGTCGGGAGTTTACTTCTCCCTCTTCCACTGGCCCTCCCCCTGCTTGTGCTCTCTCTCTCTCTCTGAAATAAATAAAATATTAAAAAAAAAAAAACCCGGGCGCCTCGGTGGCTCAGTCATTAAGCGTCTGCCTTCGGCTCAGGTCATGATCCCAGGGTCCTGGGATCGAACCCCGCATCGGGCTCCCTGCTCAACGGAAAGCCTGCTTCTCCCTCCCACTCCCCCTGCTTGTGTTCCCTCTCTTGCTATGTCTCTCTCTGTCAAATAAATAAAATCTTTAAAAAAAAAAAAAAAAAAAACCCAAAAACAAATTATGACTTGAGCACCTAGCCTGGGGTTCCCAAACAGACTAGGTTTGGCCACTCCCTGGTGACAAAATCCAAAGTCAGAGAAAGCATTGGTGGTAAACAAGAAAGGAATCTCAGGGAGCCCAACACAGAGAAGACCATGGCCGAACCTCTTAATGATTGTCTCCAAAGGGCTGAGAAACACTTCCAGGTTTATAGAAGGAAAACGTGGGGCCAAGGTGGATGGGTACATGCAGGTAGGCAGTGAAAGTCAAATAGATCATAGTCCTGGAGTCAGTCATGGGTGGGGACTTGCTGGCTCAGGGCAATCCTTAGTGCTCGAGGGGGTAGTTTTTGTTCCCATCAGGGGATGCCTTGCCAGCAGGGTCTTCCATCTGAGTCTAGAGACAAGCTGGAAAGAAGAACCCGACTAGAAAGTTTGAGGTCAAAATGGGGGCAGCCAAGGTCTTCTCAGTTCTAAGAAAAACGGTATGTATGGGTAAAGCCAACTCAGGTCCTCGGGTGACCTAGTAATCTTAAGGTTAAACAAGTACCCTTAGCCTACATGACTGATTTACTTTTCTGTTTATCTATAGACCATGCATTCTCTCCTAGAAAGAGCTGGGAACTTCTGAATGCCACAAAGCAAAACAGACCCTCTTGTACAAACCCCAGGTTCTAAGGAACCAGACCCCCTTGTACAACCTCCCAGCACCGTGACAATATCTATAGCTAGCACATCGAGTCTGCATATAGTCAAGAAGTGTTAAAGACTGCTGTTATCCCTTTACTGGTTAGCTGCCCTAAACTCCTTTAAAAACCCCTGGGTGAGGCAGAAACCTTGGAGGTGGCCTTTATACAAGAGTCCACCTTCTCCGCAGGTGGCCAGCCTTCCAAATAAAGCTCATTTTCCTTTCCAGTCAATACTTCTCTGTTGAGTATTGACTTTTGGAGTGCTAGGCAACCGAAATTGGGATTTGGTAAAACGTATTTGAACACAGACACAGAGCAATCCATCCATTTGCCAAAGCAATTCTAAAAGGATATCATGGGGCGTCTGGGTGGCTCTGTTGGTTACACGTTTGCTTTTGGCTCAGGTCATGATCTCAGGGTCCTGGGATCAAGCCCCACGTCTGGCTCCCTGCTCATGGGGGAGTCTACTTCTCCCTCTGCCCCGCCCCCCACTCATGTTCTCTCTCCAGTAAATAAAATCTTCTTTAAAAAATAAAAGGATATTATATGGGGCGCCTGTGTGTCTCAGTCAGATAACAGTCCACCTCTTGATTTTGGCTCAGCTGGTGATCTGGGGATTATGAGATCAAGCCCAGCATTGGGCTCCATCCTCACTGTGGTGTCTGCTTGAGTTTCTCTCACTTCCTGTCCATCTGCCCGTCCTACTGCTCACGCTCGCTCTCTTTAAATAAATAAATTAATTAATTTTAAAAAATCTTAGAAAAAGTATACCATACTGCAAATATTGTTTCTCTGGACCAGGCACAGTGGTTAAAGGTTTTTCACTTTTTATGTTCATAAAGGAGCACTTACCCACTAATAAAGTACAGTAAATCAGACATTCTAGACATTACCTTTTTCAAAAAAGATTTTATGTATTTATTTCAGAGAGAGAGAAAAAGAGAGCAAGCACAGAGAACGGAGGTCAGAGGAAGATGGACAAGCAGACTCCCCGCTGAGTAGGGAGCCCCAATGCAGGGCTCAATCCCAGGACCCCAAGATCATGCATGACCTGAGCTGAAGTTGGACACTTAACCAACTGAGTCATCCAGGCCCTCCTTTACACATCAGTTTTTAAATGAAGGAAACAAATGTGTACTGATAAATTTTAGAGCCTGTATTCTGGAATCCTGTAGCTATAGAGGAGATTCGTGTCAGTCACAAGAATATCAGGTCCCGGTCTTCAGGAACACAAGGAGAACATGGAACATTCAACTGTGTGTCTATCTTACCCAGAGACATCTTAAAAACTGACTCCTGGGCTACCACTATAGTGTCTGAGTCAGTAGGTGTGGGATGTGGGCTGAGAATGAACATTTTTAATGAGCTGAGGTAAAGCTAATGGAGAGGGTCAGTGCAGAGATGAAACTGTGAAAACAGGTTTTTTAGGGAAGGCCAGGCTGCCTCCCTCCAGGCTCCAGGACAGGAGGCTGTAGATGTACAGACTGTTATGAGCAGCACAGCAAAGGGTTTCTCATGCACAACTGCCGAGTGTCTCTGCAGTGAGCCAAGCAGGGTAAAAGCTTAAAGGGCTGGAGTCCCAGGGTCTCCACTGCAGAAGAGTCCACAGGAAGCCACCTAGGCACCTGCTTCTTTCGTGTGGAACTGCAAATCAACAAAGAGGCCACTAGGTGCAGGTGGCGCCAATGCCCTTCCACCTAGAGAGGCAAACTGAAACCTAACATTTATAAATGCCTCAATGTTAGGAAGTCAAAACCTAAAAACATCCAATCACACACAGCGAACTATGTTGGGCTTCACAGTGAGCATGGAGCCTAGTTAAAATTTTAAAAAGCAAGGGGCCCACGGGTGGCTAATTTGATTAAGTGTATGACACTTGATTTTGGTTGGGGTCATGACCTCAGGGTCTTGAGATCCAGTCCTGCATTAGGCACGGAGACTGGTTAAGAATCTCTCTCCCTCTGCCTTTGCTCCTCTCCCTCTGCTTCATGGACTCGCACTCTAAAAACAAAAACAAAACAAAAAACAAAACCAGAGACAATTTGTGTTTCCCAAGTAAGACAATTCCTTAAACTATAGCCAATCATATAACTTCTTTGTTGCTTCCCTTTTTGGTATTCCCCCCTTTTAAGATTTTATTTATTTATTTGAGAGAGAGAAAGAGAGCAAGCAGAAGCAGGGAGAGTGGCAGGTAGAGGGAGAGAGAAACAGGCTTCCCACTGAGCAGTGAGCCCACTGCAATGCGGGACTCCTTCCCAGGCCCCTGGGATCATGACCTGAGCCAAAAACAGCCCCTTAACCAACTGAGCCATCCAGGCACCCCTTTTTAGATTAGTCTTCTCCCGGGTGCCTGGGTGGCTCAGTTGGTTAAGCGACTGCCTTCGGCTCAGGTCATGATCCTGGAGTCCCGGGATCGAGTCCCGCATCGGGCTCCCTGCTCCGCAGGGAGTCTGCTTCTCCCTCTGACCCTCCTCCTTCTCATGCTCTCTGTCTCTCATTCTCTCTCTCTCTCAAATAAATAAAGAAAATCTTTAAAAAAAAAAAAAAAAAAAGATTAGTCTTCTCCCTAGTTTGGTTTGGTGTTGCCTGAATGGTTTTGGTGTTTGCTCAAATAAGCTCTTTGAAATTTTCTATGTAGTTCACTTCATCTTTTAACAGAGCTAATAAAAATAAAAACCCATAGGACTCATCCTTGCTCAGTGGTGCTCTTATTAATGAGGGCTTCCTTTCTGCCCAGTGGATTATTACACCAACTACTCTCTTCTCACAAAATCACCTCTCGTTTCCATCCCACCTGCCACATTTTAACACTGAATGTAAACTTGAATTTCTGTTTTCATGTTTCCTATGTTTTCCTTGAACATAATACAAGGCATTTGAAGGCAGGACTACTTGTCTTGTGCCTGCATTTCTCCCATGCATCTACCAAAATTTCCTACAAACCCAGTATATGCTCAGTGCACATTTGTGAGACCAGTGAATACACATGACATCGATTTCTGTTCATTTTAATTCTTACGGGCACTGTAAATGTCCTCTTCCCTCTCCAAGGTAGTCTGAAAATTAGTAAAAGAAACCACGTTTAAAATGAAGCTCTCCGGGGTGGGGGATAGGGTAGCTGGGTGATGGACATTAAGGAGAGCACGTGTTGTTAGGAGCTCTGGGTATTATATAAGACTGATGTATCACTGAACTCTAATTCTGAAACTAATAATACATTACATGTTAACTATATTTAAATTTAAAAAATTAAAGTAAAATGAAGCTCTCACAAAGGTAGGAATGGTTAATTAGCAGGAAAAAGGAAGATTATTTTTATCTTGACAAGGGAGGAAACTTTCACAGTAGGAATTTGATCTCCTGCTTTTAACAAAAAGAAGAATGAATGCTCCTTGCCCCAGCAACTACACACTAACCAGGGCATACAGCCAATGAATAATTGTGACAACTGGAAACTCTTGTTCTTCAATGAACTTTTATTGAAAGCAAACCTCCCCAGTCTCCTCCTAAAACCTAATAAAAGCTGACTTTCCTTCTGTTTCTTCAGACTTTCCTGTGGTTTGCCCTACCGTGCTTATCCCCAGTTGAAATTCCTCTGTTAATTCCTAAATAAACTCAGTTTGCTAGTAAAATAAGTGGCTATTTATTTATTTATTTATATATTTATTTATTTTTAAATATTTTATTTATTTATTTGACAGAGAGAGAGACAGCGAGAGAGGGAACACAAGCAGGGGGAGTGGGAGAGGGAGAAGCAGGCTTCCCGCGGAACAGGGAGCCTGATGCGGGGCTCGATCCCAGGACCTGGAATCATGACCTGAGCCGAAGTCAGACGCTTAACGACTGAGCCACCCAGGCGCCCCTGTGGCTATTTATTTTTAAGGATGACAGTAGCATTGCTCAATGTTTTCAGGAATGAAAAAGTTACATTTTGGAGATAAAAGCCCTCACAATGACCAGGCATATTGGTCTAGCAGAGTCACGTCTTCAATTTCATTCCATCTTTTCTCAGGCTTCTTAGAGCCTTCTCTAAAAGTTCTTTCAGGTCATAATGTTTTTGTAGCCTTTAATGATGTGTAGGGAGATGGAATGTGGGTTTCGCCATAGCCATTTCTACCATTGTCTTTAAACAACCTGATAAAGGTTAGAAACTGCTTTCCGAAATGTGCATTTTTCAGCACTCTATTCTAACTTCAATTCCTAAAGTGACACTACCGCCAGTGCCTGAAGAAAGAAGAATCACTTCCCAGCAAGAAGGTGAGATCAGGGCGCCTGGGTGGCTCAGTTGGTTAAGCGACTGCCTTTGGCTCAGGTCATGATCCTGGAGTCCCAGGATCGAGTCCCGCATCAGGCTTCCTGCTCAGCAGGGAGTCTGCTTCTCCCTCTGACCCTCCTCCCTCTCATATGCTCTCTCTCTCTCATTCTTGTTCTCTCAAATAAATAAAGAAAATTTAAAAAAAAAAAAAAAAGAAGGTGAGATCATTGGGTTCAGATAACCCTTTATTTCAGGGCTCAGATTCTCGCGTTGCACACACGCTCCAAATGAAAATGGCAGTATGTGTTCAGTACCCAAAATAGCATGGGTTATGTTGAGCTGTTTGGGATGATGTCAGACTTCTAAAAGGAATTGAGTACATCTGAGAATATGGAGTAAGAATTATATGCATAAAAGTGTCCCTTCATAGATGGGCGCAATCATCACACAGGTAAGAGAGGCTTAGTGTGGAACCAGAGGCTGACCGCGTCATTGACCACATCATTCGGGGTGGCCTACCCTCCCTTGTCCTTCTTCCCTGTCATAGACCTGTATGGGGTGTAAAAAGGAAACCGCAGGCCCCAAATGGAGTCACTTCTGCTAGGCTGTGTCACCAAACCAGGGCATAATACCGAAGCTCACTGCACTTTCAACCTTCCCAGAAATTCAGTTTCCACCGCACAGTCAGGAATCTGCTGGTCAGCACCAAAAAGGTAACGTACGTGGATGCGCCCTCTCCATTCCCCAAAGAAAGATGACGGATTCTCCTAATGAGCCTTTTGTCCCCACAATCTGTCCCCACAATCTCCAACTGACATATTCCTTCTTTCTGTTTATGATACTCTTTTCCTACCTTTAAAAACCGTCCCCTTTCTGTAGCGCTTTGGAGCTGCCCTCTACTTGCTAGATGGGATGCTGCCCAATTCACAAATCAGCGAGTAAAGCCAAAAGCCCTTTAGAATGCACTGTTGAGTTTTTATTATTTAACAGGAAGTTTTCTAAGTTCCTAACTACAAAACTGACTCTAACTCATCCCGGGCGCAAGCATTTAATGAGCAACAACCTTCCAGTTAGACAGCGACTCATTTCTTTCGGAAGTACTTCAAGGGATGATTTGTCATTTACCTCAGCAAAGGAATATGGGAGCATCTAAAATAGTAGTTTTCTCTGGAAGCTGACTGACATTCACGGAGTCTGAAAGCATAGCTCTTCTCTGCCTTTAACGAGGAGCAAATGCCGTCCCCCCGGCGAGGAGCAGCGCTTTCCCGCGTCCCTCAGGGCGCCACGTGACCACAGCTCGGCAACTCCAGGGGGGGGCACCCCCTGCCGGAGACCGCCAGAGCTCCGGGAGCCGCCCCACCCGGAAGAGCCCGGCCCGCGGACGCGGCGAGCAGCCAATGAGGGAACAGCACACGGCGTTTCCAGGCGAGCGCAAGCCCCGGGGGCGGGACTTCCGGTCTCATCCGCCAGGAGGTCTCTCTGCCTCAGGTTGGGTCTGTTTGTCCCGTAAGCTGCCGGAGCGCGCGTCAGGCTCCGGTGACCGGCCGTGAAGACGCGAGGGGAGGCGCTGTCCTCGCCGCACGCGGTCGAGTCCGGGTGTCCGCCCACCTCCGGCCTCGCTCGGCCCAGCGAGTCCGATGGCGGCGGCCGCGCGCAGGGGCCCGGCTCCGGTAAGCGTCGTCCCCGCACCCAGACCCCCGCGGCCCAGGCCCCGGCGTCCGGGACAGGCGGGCGGCGGCGGGCGGGGGCCCCGTGCGGGAGCGGGCTCCGGGCCGAGGGCGGCCGGGGCCGAGGCGGGAGGGGGCCGCGCCAGCGGCGGGCAACAGCAGCTCGCCGTCCTTCCTGTCGGGAGCGCAGTGCCGCGCGGCCGTGAGGCCCGTCCCCTCGCTGCCCGAGAAGCCCGTCTCTCCTGGCGGGCGTGAGGTGGGCTCGGCCGGGTGTGAATAGGCGTTCTCCGGCCGCCAGAGGGGAGAGCCCGCCGCGGGGCTAAGCGAGGAGGCAATGGCAGGAGTCGGTGGTATTTTTTTAAAGATATTTTATTTATTTGACGTTTAGAGAGCACGCGCGCGTTGGGGGGTCGGAGGAGAGGGAGAGAGAATCCCAGCCGACTCCCCTCTGAGGGAGGAGACCAACTGGGGCCAGATCCTATGATCCTGACCTGAGCCAAAAAGAGTGGGGCCCTCGAGGGACTGAGTTACCTAGGCACTTGGGTGTTCCTGTTGATGGCGTCGAATGGCTGCCGTGGATGTTGGAGAATTGGTTGAATTATGGTCCTTTTTTGAGAAGAGCTAAACCAAATTGTGGGTGTTGCAGGTGACAAGAGGAAGGGAGGAGTCAGGGCTTTTGGTCTGCGAACCCTAAAAATGAAACAAAAACTGGCAATTATTTTACCCACAAAAATGGGTTTATTTAGGAATGAAAGAAACCACAATTTGGAACAAACAAGCTTAGGCAAGGGACGCCTGGGTGGCTCAGTCAGTTAAGCGTCTGCCTTCGGCTCAGGTCATGGTCCCCGGGTCCTGGGATCGAGCCCCGCATCGGACTCCCTGCTCGACAGGAAGCCTGCTTCTCCCTCTCCCACTCCCCCTGCTTGTGTTCCCTCTCTCGCTACCTCTCTCTCTGTCAAATAAATAAATAAAGTCTTAAAAAAAAAAAAGAGTGGTATTGTTCAGCACCTGGTTGGGTTTGCTGGGCATTGCCAACACAGGTGGTGAAGGAGAAAGAATGATGTGGCAGATACATGGGCAAAACCTCCATGGAATGATGGGACAAGAGATAGCTAGGACATCTAGGAGTATATTTCTTTTTTCAGTAGTCTCCATGCCCAGTGTAGAGCCTAGCATGCAGCTTGATCTCTTGACCCTGATGAAGACCTGAGCTGAGAGCAGGAATCAGACCCTTAACCCACGGAGGCACAGAGGCGCCCCCTGTCCAGGAGCATTTGAGAGTCTGGAGATGCACTTTATTCAGTGGTGTAGGGCTTCAACAGAAATTTGGTGAGAGTTTGTGTGGTGTTTGTAGTGTTTCAAAGTTTTGCTGCTGGAAAAGGTCTGGGGCAGATGTGGTCATTTGTGATTCACTATGCTGGGCAAGGTGTATTTACAAAATTTCAGTTGAAAGTGGAGTATCCAATTGTTGAGGGACAGTATGGGCAGCAGAGAAGTAGACGAGGGTCCATGAATATCCTAGGTTGACATGTGGTTGTGAGTGTCTGTTATTGAAGGGAGGATTAGAGGGAGGCGAGGAGGGCTTCTCAGCATTTGAGGCTTTCCCTCATTTGGGATCCCTGAGAGTCCTGGGGTGGGACTGGAACCTGTTTGAGTTTGTCAAACATCCTTTGGATGTCATGTGACAAGCACAAGTGTGAGTCAAGGGAGGATCCTTTGGTGTGGGGCAGGAAGGTGTGGGAGTTCATCTGTGGGGCCTGAAGACGTGAGAGTGGTACAGTCTACAGAATCCTGTACACATGGAGGGGAAGTGTGAGCTAAAGGCCTCAGCGCCCTGGTATTGAAGACTTCCTGGTAGAGCAGGGCCTATAATGTCTTGAGGGCACAGCATGGGAGACTCCATGGGAATATCGTGGCAGAGGGATGGGACCTTGCAGGCCAGACCCAGAGCTTAGAGTGCATCTCCGTGTCCCCCTGCCTGTTACTGCTGAGGACTGAACACAGTGATTGATGGGAAGGTGAGAGGAGAGCAGCATTAGAGGCACCAGGTATTTATTCTGAGGTGGGGAGACTGGGGTGGATGTGGGGGGGTTTGGATTGTGGGTTCTCAGATAAAGAATGTTCATGGTTTCATTTGTCCTTTTCATGAAAGGGTGGTGTGACCTTTGAGGACATTGCCGTGTACTTCTCCTGGAAGGAGTGGAGGCTTCTTGATGAGGCTCAGAGACAGCTGTACCACCATGTGATGCTGGAGAACTTTACACTTATATCCTCACTGGGTAAGGCCCTCAGCCTCCCCTTTGACCTGGACTAGACTCTGTGCTCCCGAGTCCCCCCTCTGTATTTTCCAGGGTGGGTTAGTCCTTCTCTCATGTGGACTGTGGGCACTGCTTGCTTCCCCAGCTTTCTGGTTAGTTGCTTTTGTTGCTAGCTCTGAGTTGTTGGTGTGCCCTTTTCTCTGCCCTGCAGCTCCCAGTACCCTCTGTGCTGAGCCCTGATTGGATAAGATTAGAGGTCAGTGGTCATGCCGTGAGGCTGATGGATCGCACCTTGCTTGCCCTCTCCCTGGCTGGGTCCATGTGTTCAGATCCGTGCCATTTCTGTGGCCCGGGTTTTGAACCCTTCCTTTAGGTGCCATTTCCTTGTGCCTGCCTGTGCCTGAAATTGCAGGCATTGACATGTTTGTTTGTTTTTTTTTTAAGATTTTATTTATTTATTTGACATAGAGAGACACAGTGAGAGAGGGAACACAAGCAGGGAGAATGGGAGAGGGAGAAGCAGGCTTCCCGCAGAGCAGGGAGCCCGATGCAGGGTTCGATCCCAGGACTGAATGCAGACGAGTAGCAACTGAGCCACCCAGGTGCCCTGGCATGTTTACTGCTTATGTGGACCATGGGTTACTTCTCAAGACTGTCCTGTATGGTTCTTTTAGTAGTGTTTACATCTCTTCTTCTACCTGTCCTCTTCTCATGAGCTTTGTTGAGATATGATTGACAAATTTATATTATTGAAATTATATTACATAATGATTTGATATATGTTATAAATTTTTTTTTTTTTAGATATTTATGCCTGAGGCAGGGCTTAATCTCTCCACCCAGTCATCAAGACCTGGGCCGAAATCAAGAGTTGGATGCTTAATTGACTGGGCCGCCTAGATGCCCTTACATTATGAAATTATTAACAAACGACCCTAATCAACACAACATCGCTTGACACAATTACGTTTTTTGTTATTGATGGTTCCAAAGCTTAGTATCTACTCTGATAGCAAATTTCAAGTGTACAATAAAATTTTTTTTTTTAAGATTTTTTATTTATTCATTTCAGACACAGAGATACAGAGAGAGAGAGAGAACATGAGCAGGGAGAGAGGCAGAGGGAGAGGGAGAAGCAGGCTCCCCGCTGAGCCAGGAGCCCAATGTGGGGCTCGATCCAAGGACCCTGGGATCATGACCCGAGCCTAAGGCAGACGCTTAACGACTGAGCCACCCAGGCACTCCTCAAGTGTACAATAAAATATTAACAACTGTAGTCAACGTGCTGTATATTAGATCCTCAGAACTTATCTTGTAAATGTTAGTGTGTACTCCTACCAACATCTGCCCATCTCCCTCAGTCTTTAGCTTCTGGCATTCTGCTTTCTGTTTCTATGAGTTTGACTCATTTCTTTTCTTAATAAATATCCACGTATGTGGGTTTGTACCCTGTATCCATATACAGGGTTTGTGTTTTGCTGTGTGGCTTATTTGACTTAGCATAGTTTTTTTCAGATTCATCTGTTTGTAGCAAGTGGCAGTGTTGCCTTCATTTTTATGGCTGAATATTACTGCACATGTGTGTACTAAATGTTGTCACTTTATTTATTTATTTCTCTATTTAGATACCATTTATTTTTTTATTCTTTCTTATATATATATAGACTCCATACCCAGTGTCGAGCGTGAACTCACCACCCTGAGATCAAGAGTTGCATGCTGTATGGACTGAATTGGCCACGTGCCCCGTATTTATCATTATTAACATTCACACACACTTACTGATGTTTCCATATATTGGCTATGTGAACAATACTGCAGTGGATATTCATGTTCAGATACGTTGTGGAGATACTGATTTTGTTTCCTTGGGATAGAAACCTAGAAATGGCAGTGGTGGACTATATGGTAGTTGTATTTTCAATTTTTGGTGGGTCTCCCTAATATTTTCCATGATGACTTCCCTATTTACGTTCCCAGCAGCAGTATTCAAATGTTATTTTTTCTGCACATCATGAACAACCTGTTACTTCTTGTCGTTTTGGTAATAGCCATTGTAACAGGTAGGAGGTGATATTTTATGGTGTGGTTTTCATTTCCCTGATGATTTGTGATTGTGAGCACGTGTTAGTCACTTGTACATCTTTTTCACACTCTTGTGTGTTTCATTGGCTCTGGTGCAACATTTTTTTTTTTAAGATTTTATTTATTTGATAGAGACACAGCGAGAGAGAGAACACAAGCAGGGGGAGTGGGAGAGGGAGAAACAGGCTTCCCGCGGAGCTGGGAGCCCGATGTGCAACTCAATCCCAGGATGCTGGGATCATGACCTGAGCCAAAGGCAGACGCTTAACAACTGAGCCACCCAGGTGCCCCTGGTGCAACTTTTCAATTTGATATAGTGGTATTTGTTAGTTTTTGCTTTTGTTGTGTATGTTTTAGATGTCCTGTTCAAAAAACCATTGGCAGGAATAAGGTTAAGGAGGCTTTTCCCTATGTTTTTTTCCAGGAATTTTAGGGTTTGAGATCATATGTCTAAGTCTTTAATCAATTTGAAGTTCATTCCTTGAGTGCTTTAAGATGGGGATCCAGGATTCTTGTTTTCGTATTTGGATATTCACATTTCACAGCAGAATGAAAGAGGTTATTTTTTCGCCAGTGTTGATTCTTGGCCTCATTGTCAAACATTAATTGTCTGTAGACATGTTGCTTTACTTCTGGGCTCTTTATTCCGTTCCACTGGTCTGTTTTTATGCCAGTACCCTATTGTTTTGAAAACAATAGCTTTGTAATATAGTTTGAAATCACAAGTGTGCTGCCTTCAGCTTGATCTTCTTTCTCAAATTGCTTTGGCTTCAGACATTGGTTAACTTGGTGGCAAAACATGCCAGTGTCCTATGTGGAGCAGGAAGCTGGAGGCTCTGCTGAGAAGGGACTGCAGTCACACCCACCCTGTGGCTGATGGAGATAGCCCCAGGCCTTATTTCCCACCCATCGCACATGTCTCTGCTAGTACAGTCTCCAACCAACTTTTTTGTGTGCTTGTGCCCTCTTTTGTGGTCTACTGTGTTCTAGTCAGTGTTATTGGGCTCTTCAGCACTTCCAGGCTAATACCACTCATGGACAGCTGTAGAATTGATTTTTTGTTGGGGTGAGGGATGATTTCTGCTTTTCCACCATCCTGCTGACATCAGTCACATAAGATATTTTTCTTTGTTGTGTCCTGAGTAGCTCTAGGACAGTGCTGGTGGTCCACTTTGTTTGTTTCATACAGTATTGGTATCTTCCTGATACCCTGCAGTTGCTCAGGAGGGCTTACAGGGAAGAGTCCTTTGTGTATCATAGCATGGACATGCTCCAGAAATGACCATGTGAGCTCATAGGGAGCCTGTTTCTGGTGGATGGCAGCTGCGAAAGGTGTGATATCAGCACTGTGTTCAGATCACACTGGGCACCTTTGTTTTTTCAACCTAAGTTTGGTGCCATTGCAGATGACCACACTCCATCTCTGTCTTTCCTTCTTTACTGTTGACAGTTTGTGGACTTCTGAATGCTACTCTTTGGTACTTCCATGACGTCAAGTACAGGGGTAATTAATAGGTCTCGGGCCTCCATGCCTCACCCATATCTCTCACTGCTAATTCTGCGTAGTCCAGCATTCACCCCTGAAATTTTTACCATGACATATTGAAATGCCCTTAAACTGACCTTGAACAAAAGCAAATTTCTTGGGACTGGATATTCCTGCAGCCTCTACTCAGCCAAATATCACCAGCAGAAATGGTCCTACACAGACCTTTGGGCAAAAAACAAGTTGTAGACCGTGGCTCTCTTCCTTGTGTCATACCCTAGTTTTTTGTCCTTCTGGTGTGCTCTCCATAATACTTTGACCACTCGGGCCCAGTAATGCACGACGGCCACTCCTTCAGTTGAATTTCATCTCCTGTGTGTGGAAAAGCATGCTATTCGGTCCTGCCTGGATGAGTCAGGTGCATGTATGTGATGGCTCACCCCCTCGCTATAGTCAACACAAATTTCACCAGCGCTTCTTTGCCTTCAGGTTGTTGCTGTGGAGCAGAGGATGAGGAGGCACCCTTTGCCCAGAGCACTTCTGTAGGCGTGTCACAGACCAGGACGCCCAAGGCAGCTCAGTCTTCCCGGAAGACCCACCCTTGTGAGATGTGTGGTCCAGTCTTGAGAGGCATTTTCCACTTGGCTGCGCACCAGGGAAAAGAAAACAGCCAGAGACTGTTGAGGTGTGGGGCCTGTGGGAAACGATTTTATTTCATTACTGACTTCAGAAAACATGAGAAACAGCACATGGGAGAGAAACCCTTCAGAAGCCGTGTGGACAGGGCCTCTGTTGTGAAGAGCTGGGGATTCCATGGTGCAGGAAAGCCCCTTACCTGTGGAGAAGTTCAGAAGGACTTCCTGTCTGGCTCGGGGCATCTGCAGCAAGAGGCCATTCGTACTGGGGAGAAGCCACACATGATCACCCAGTGCAGGGCAACTTTACAAAGCAGAAAAAGTCATGACCCCTGGGGAGAATGCAAGAACGTCTTTGGTCCCAAACACACACATAGTCAGGACCAGGGTGTCCACCTTGGAAGACAGTCCTTTGTGTGCAGTGAATGCGGGAAAGCATTCAGGTACAAATCCTTATTTGCCATACACCAGAGATCCCATACTGGAGAAAGATATCATGAGTTTGGTAAATGGCAAACACCAACCCGGAATGAACATGGAAAGACTCACAGTGCATCCAGACAGTACACGTGCAGCAAATGTGGGAAATCCTTAGGCCACAAATCTGTTCTCATTCATCCCCAGAGATGGCACAGTGGAGTGAAGAGTTACGTTTGCAGTGGATGTGCAAAAGCTGTTAGCTGTAGCTCAGTGTTGATTACTCATAGGATTCAACCTGGAGAAAGGTTTTATAAGTGTCGTGGCTGTGCAAAATCTTTTCCCTCTATGTCTGCCCTCTCATATCATCAGAGATCTCATGCAGGAGAAAGACAGTATGAGTGCAGTGATTGTGGGAAATCTTTTACCAGCAGTTCTGTCCTCCATTATCACCAGAGAGTTCATAGTGGAGAAAGGCCTTATCAGTGCAGTAAATGTGGCAAGTCCTTTCTCCGAAGAAATAGCCTCAATGTACATATAAAGGTTCACTCAGGTGAAAGGCCTTATAAATGTAACGCATGTGGGAAATCTTTAAAGTGTAAGTCAGCATTCATTAAACACCAGAGCGTTCACACAGGAGAAAGGCCTTATGAGTGCAGCGAATGTGGCAGGTCTTTTCTCCGAAGAAATACACTGAATGTACACATAAAGGTTCATTCAGGTGAAAGACCTTATAAATGTAACGAATGTGGTAAGTCATTTAAGTTTAAGTCAACATTCATTAAACACCAGAGAATTCACACAGGGGAGAGGCCTTATGAGTGTAGTGAATGTGGGAAATCTTTTATCTCTAGGACTGACCTACGGTATCATCAGAGAATTCACACAGGAGAGAGACCTTATCAGTGCAGCGAATGTGGCAAGTCCTTTGTCCGAAGAAATATCCTCAAGGTACACAGAAAGGTTCACTCAGGTGAAAGGCCTTATAAATGTAATGAATGTGGGAAATCTTTGAAGTGTAAGTCATCGTTGATTAAACACCAGAGAATTCACACAGGAGAAAGGCCTTATGAGTGCAGTGAATGCGGGAAGTCTTTTATCACTAGTTCCGTGCTTCATTCTCACCAGAGAGTTCACACTGGAGAAAGGCCTTATGAATGCAGTGAATGTGGGAAATCTTTTACCACTAGTTCTGTCCTCCGTGATCATCAGAGACTTCACACTGGAGAAAGGCCTTATGAATGCAGTGAATGTGACAAAACTTTTACTACAAGTTCTGCCCTCCATTATCATCACAGAGTTCACACTGGAGAGAGACCTTATGCATGCAGTGAATGTGGCAAGTCCTTTGTCCGAAGAAATAGCCTGAGTGTGCACCTGAAAGTTCACTCAGGTGAAAAGCCTTATAAATGTAATGTATGTGGGAAATCATTGAAGTGTAAGTCAACATTCATTCAACACCAGAGAATTCACACAGGAGAAAGGCCTTATGAGTGCAGTGAATGTGGGAAATCTTTTTCCGCTACCTCTGTCCTTCGTTCTCACCAGAGAGTACACACGGGAGAGAGACCTTATGAATGCAGTGAATGTGGAAAATCTTTTACGTCTAGTTCTGCCCTCCGTTCTCACCAAAGAGTGCACACCGGAGAAAGGCCTTATGAGTGCAATGACTGTGGCAAGTTCTTTCTCCACAGAAATAGCCTCAATGTACACATCAAGGTTCACTCAGGTGAAAGACCCTATAAATGTAATGAATGTGGGAAATCTTTGAACTATAAGTCAACATTCATTCAACACCAGAGAATTCACACAGGAGAAAAGCCTTATCTGTGCAGTGAATGTGGGAAGTCTTTTAGTCATAGCTGTGCCCTCCGGTACCATCGTCAGAGTCACCTTGGAATAAGTCCTTATGATTGTAGTGAATGTGGGAAATCTTTTACCACTAGTTCTGTCCTTCGTGATCACCAGAGACTTCACACTGGAGAAAGGCCTTATGAGTGCAGTCAGTGTGGGAAATCTTTCACCACTCGTTCTGTCCTCCGTTCTCATCAGAGAGTTCACTCTCGGGAAAGGCCTTATGAGTGCAGTGAATGTGGCAAGTCCTTTGTCAGAAGAAATAGCCTCAATGTACATGTAAAGGTTCATTCAGGTGAAAAGCCTTATAAGTGTCATGAATGTGGGAAATCTTGGAAGTGTAAGTCGACGTTCATAAAACATCAGAGAATTCATACAGGAGAAAGGTCTTTTGCTTGCAGTGAATGTGGGAAATCTTTTTTCAGTCATGATGCTCTCAGTTACCATCACAGAGTTCACAGTGGCAACAGGCCTTAGGGGTGCTGCTGTTGTAGGGAATCTTTCAGCTGTATCTTCAGTCTCCTTCAACAGGAGGAAATACAATTAATAGAGTCCTTATGGGCAGTATTACGAACTGAATGTTTATGTTCACTAAAATTGATATGTTCAATCCCTATCCTCTAATTCAATAGGATTAGCATGTGATGTCTTGGGAGATAATTCAAAGATACAGTTTCATAAAAATCTGAATTAACCCTGGAGTGAGGTCTCATGAGTATGTGAATGACACAATTCCTTTAGCTCATTATCTGTCTTCATTCCACACTACAGAGTTCACACTGCAGAAAGAGTTAAAATATCATAGAACGTGAGGCAGCCACCTCCCTGAATGGAACTTTGTTCACCTGAATGTCTGCAGTTCAGTGACTTTCCATAAGTTCCAGTCTTTTGGGAAATATTCAGAAGTTGCATATTGCGTTCTGATGTGTCTGAAGTTATTGCTAGAAATCACTGCCAGATTCCATGGCAGAAGTCATCTCTGCCACCTGGATGGTCCCAATAACGTGTCAGTCACCACCCAATATGCTTAAGAATGCTAACCTCTCCTTTGTCATTTGCTGATGGAAATGATGGGTAATTGAGCCTCTTCATTTCCTTCTGATTTTGGTCATGCATGTGACCCAGTGTTGACCATCAGTATCTGATCTGTGTTCTGGGTGGTTACTTGCACAGGAAGACTAAATCTCTTAGGGACTTGGTCTTACCATGCTTCTGATAAATCTTTGCAGCTTCCAAGTCAGTAACAGGAATTGGATGCCACTTGTTGCTCTGGTTTATGCATGAATAGATGTCTTTTTTATTTAATTACCTGTTATCTTAGGTGTTGTGTTCCCTCTAAGGAGTGGTTTGAAAGCAGAATTGGGCTCTGCCCGCATGTAGGAGTGAACAGATTTCACTGTATTCCAAATTTATTGTGTCGCAGAGAAGATAATATCTACATACATACAACATTAGTATTCTCCAGCCCGGGCCTTAATTTGCATTAACTCTAAAACCTATCTGATGGGCTGAATGTGCACCCACAATTCGTATTTTGAAGTTATAACCCCCACAACCTCACAATGTGACTATAGTTAGATATAGCATCTTCATAGAGATCATAAGTTGAAATGGGTTATTAGGATGGACTCTTACTCAGTTTAGCTCGCTTCATGATAAGAAGAGATGAGGATATAGGCACACACGGTTGACTGTGAAGGTAGGGAATCCTCATCTACAAGCCATCCCAGAACCCTTGAGTTCACAACCTGAGCTGAAAGTGGATGCTTAACTGACTGAGCCACCCAGACACCCCTCTTACCTTTTACTTTGGTCATTCGCCTCTGACGTTGTCATACATATATGTCCCGTTCAGTCTTCAGTACTGTTTTCTTCTCTGGATGTGTACCACTATTGATCTCTTCATCTGTTTGGAGCATGTGGGTTATTTCCAGTGTTTCCCTTTCACAAACGAATCCCTTATTATGAAAGTTATATTTTCATTATAATTCCTTATGCAGATAGAGGTTTTATTTTTCTTCTATTAAGACTCAAAGCACAATGGCTAAGTCACAGGTAGGTGAGTGTTAACATTTTCATGAAAGGGCCAAAATGGGATCTAAACTATTCACCACTGCATTCCCACCAGGCATATGTGAGAGTTGCAGTATCTTCAGTCCCTGACAGTACTTGATAGGGCCAGTCTTTAATGTCAGCCCTTTTAATGCATGTGTAGTGCTATGTTGTAATTGCATTTCCTAGGGATTTCTGATTTTCAGCATTTTTTCATGTGTTTATTTACCACGTGTATATCTTTTGTGGTGCAATTTCTGTTCCTATCATTTGCCTATTTTCCTTGATGTGAGTTATGTGAGTTTCTTTGTAGTTCCCTTTTTAATTACAAATAAGATATGCACACAACAAAGATACATGTTGGAATTTTCCTCATTCACACATGGTGTGACATTGTTCTCAGTGGAGTCATAGTAATACTGGAAGGCTATTTCTTCATTATTTTTCCTGAGATTTTTTGTGTCCTGCACAATGTCATAGCCCAAAATACCTTACACATTTAAGTCTAGGGTGCATTCTTACCATTATGTCCTCATTTTCTTCTTAAATCCAGCCATTCAGAAAAACAAAACTCCATCTCCGCTTTGTAGTGTTTGCCAATTTCCAGAGTGTAAATTCTTTGAGAGCAGGATATGCTTAGAAAAAGGTGCAGAATAACTATGTGGGTGTTTGGTGGAAAACCACTCACTGGGGGCTGTGAGCTGGCTGGAGGTCTGCAGGAACCTCACAGGCAGGGGACCTTAATCCTGACAGGCCAGAGGGGAGGGACGTCCCTGAACACCCTGACTGGTGACTGAAAATCTGGCTGGTCTCAACCTAGTAGTGGCAGTTTTGTCAGGCATGCCCACCGAGTTCTGAGTTGTTTTCTCCCATCCCGCCCAGTACACTGAAAGAACTTCTCACCCTGGAGCACCATCCTCCAAGTGATTTTTTTTTTTTTTAAGATTTTATTTATTTGACAGAGACACACCGAGAGAGGGGACACAAGCAGGGGGAGTGGGAGAGGAGAAGCAGGCTTCCCGCGGAACAGGGAGCCCGACACGGGGCTCGATCCCAGGACCCTGGGATCGTGACCTGAGCCGAAGGCAGACGCTTAACCAACTGAGCCACCCAGGCGCCCCCTCAAAGTGATTTATTTCCTTCTTTTTCCTCCTCCTCCTGCTCCTCCTCCTCCATTTTATTTATTTGACGGCACAAGCAGAGGGAGAGGCAGAAGCAGGCTCTCTGCTGAGCGGGGATCTGGATGTGGGGCTAGATCCAAGACCCTGTGATGATGACCTGAGCCAAAGGCAGACTCTTAACCAACTGAGCCACCCAGGTGCCCTCCTTCTCTTTCTGTAATAGTTGACTGCTGGTCCCGCAAGGGGTCTACACAGCCTTGGGCTGTGTTTCCAGACAGCTGTCTGAGGGGAAGCCTGCTAGGCCTTTGGAGGGGGTGGGCGCTTGGGTCATTTCCAGCCTCCCCCTATCCTGGAAGGACTTGGAGCCAGGTGCGGTGGAGGCTGTCTCAGAATAGATCTGGGGTCAGTGTTGGTGCAGTTTTTGTTTGTTACCTCCAGGTGGTGACTTTGGCCTTTTGTTTGAACTATCCCATTTGACCTTCTGCCTGTTTTGATCCACTTTCAGCTTCCATGGCAAGGGGCACCCCTTCCACCCGAGGGCTTGCATGTCAGAAGGATCTTTTGTGGGGCGCCTGGGTGGCTCAGTTTTTAAGCGTCTGCCTTCAGCTCAGGTCATGGTCCCAGGGTCCTGGGATCGAGCCCTGCATCGGGCTCCCTGCTCAGGGGAAGCCTGCTTCTCCCTCTCCCACTCCCCCTGCTTGTGTTCCCTGTGTCTCTGTCAAATAAATAAATAAAATCTTAAAAAAAAAAAAAAAAAAGGATCCTTTGCATTTGTAGGTTGGGGGATGCACAGGAAGGTCAGGTTTCCTGGTTCAACCTGAAGCTGCCAGCTGGGCTCTGATGGGTCTCAGCTCCTCTCACCTAGAGCTTAGTGGCTACAGCAGGGGACCATCTCACCTGTCGTGCACCAGTTCTGGGACTTTAGAAGTTTGGCACTGACTTTTGCCAGCTGTGCAAGAGAGTGGAGGAGGCGGTGGCAGGCAATGTAAATCTCTTTAAGGCTGCCCTTAATGCGTGGCGTGTAATGACAGTGGCTTAAAAGAAATTCATTTAACTTATCAGCATTTTTATTTTTCAAAAAAAAAAAAAGAAGGAAGGAGGGAAAAAGGAAGGAAGAAAGGGAGATAGGAAGAAAAAGAAAAAGGAAGGAGAGGAGAGAGGAAGGGAGGAAGAGGAAGAAAGGAAAGAAAAAGAAGGCAAGAAAGAAAAAAGGGGAGAGGAGAAAGAAAGAAAGAAAGAAAAAGAGGAAGAAAGGGAGGGAGGGGAGAGGAGAGCCAGGAGGGGTACATCTTCTCGGGCAAGGAAGTGTGTACCCAGGTTGGGTGCTAATATGGGAACCTCTTCCTCTTTCTCTGTGAACCCTCCTGTGAGCGAGATGGCATCTTGGGGGGTCAGTGAGAAAGGGGCTGAGCATGTGGAGATCTGTGTGGGGTCTCCTGAGCATCTCGGTACCAGGCAGGAGACAGGGGTGGCTCAGGAACAAAGAAGGTAAGTGCAGGGAGTCAGCAACCTGGGTAGAAGATTTAGGAAGGACCCTCTGGGCTGAGTTCCCATACTTCCTCTGGAGCCTAAGTTCCCACCGCTGATCCTTAAGGCAATACCTTCCCAAGACCACTGACCATTTTTTTTTAAAGACTTTATTTATTTGACAGAGAGATAGAAAGTACAAACAGGCAGAGCAGGCAGAGGGAGAGGGAGAAGCAGGTTCTCCCGCTGAGCAGGGAGCACAACGTGGGGCTCGATCCCAGGACTCTGGGATCATGACCTGAGCTAAAGGCAGACGCTTAACCAACTGAGCAACACAGGCGTCCCTAAAACTTTCTAAGGTTTTAACAAACTTTCCCCAAGATTTAAATCATGAACAAAGTCTCGTTGACTAATTAGGCTTGTTTGGTATGTTACATTCTGGTATGGGGTCATCATCACTTGATATTCTGGCTATTGAGGTGTTATGTGTCACAGAATAACTGAGTTTCTTTGTTAATTGTATCATAGTGAACTCTCAGATCATTAACAGTGTCCATTTCTGAGTTTTTCTCATTTATAATTGTTCTTATTCTTTTGCAAAATGAGTTTTCATCTTCAAGGAGGTTCATATAAAGGACTTTTAGGACAAAAACAGGTATTCAGTATCTTTAAGATCATAAAAATGAAATGAGTAAGAATTTCCAGAACCAACTAAAAGCTGCATTCAAACTAAACAAGAACTAGTAACATGGGACTAAATGAACTAAGAATATGATTATAGTTTTGTGACTCTTGCTTGAAACATTGCTGGTTGCTAATGTTTTCTCTTCCAGATTAAGGAAACTTTCTCATAAGATATCTATGACTTTCAGAAAGGTGAAAAAGTATTCATTTGTGAACAAATTTAAGCATTTAGCTTTTCTCTCTACCTGAACCCTCTGAAATTCAGAAGGTCTCAGTGAGTATTCTTTCTTCCATGGCAATCAGAGTCATTTGCATAAGTTCAGTAATTGTTCTCCTTGTAACAGGACACCATTGGAAACATTGGTTATTTTACCAAGGCTTTGACTGGAATGTCATATTTGTGAGAGGCATGTATAGAGTCAGATATGACCAAACAGCTTTAAGGATCTAAGGTTGACTTTATGAAACCTGGAGCCATAAAGCCCCATGGAACTGTTGGCCTATTCCCTTGCTTACAGAGTTCCCAGCAGCCTCACCAGGTGAGTAAAGAATGTCACTTCCTGGCAGTGCAGGAACGTCAGCATACTTTGGGGCCCTCAGGAAGAGGAATCCAACCAAATGTACAGGTATTGCAGGCATGTCTGATGGCAAGTACTTGGCTTGGCTTCTGGCCTGGAGAGGCTACTAAAAGTTCAACCTAGAGATTCCTTATAAAAGTTCCAGCAAAGCAGATTCTATAAGATCTATATGACCAATCATTATTCTTGCTGAGCTTATGTAAATGATTAGGCCATGTTTGTTAAAATTGGACTTGTTTTTCAAATAAATTAGTCCTGATTTGGCTATCTCTGATTAAAAATGAGGGTTATTTTAGAAAGAAGAATTGTGTTTCAATAACACACCTTTGTGGATGTTAAATTCTATATCTGATTGTATTTAAATGTTCTTTACCTAAGCTAGACAACCTGAGGTAGACTTCAGAGAAATTACCACAGTAGCTCATGTATAGACAACCTTCTTGTTATTCTGTGGGGATAATAACAGGACCCCATGGACATATTATTATTTGAACAATGGAAAATGGGATTGATTCCCCAACAATTGTATAACTCAACTAGCACCTTGACCAATTCTATGTGGCTGGGATGGTGAAATCTCTCCTTAAAAGCCAAAGCATACCCCACTCCATAGGGTTAACTATGGGCTTGTAGAGATAATGGATGACCCCACTTTCTTTATTTGGATGATGCCCTTGGGGATGCCCTTATCTCTTGGGACAAGTCTTTTCCCACTTGCCAGTGATTCTTTAAATTAGAATATTGTTAAGGCTGGACCTTAAACAAAAAGGGCTTCTTGATGGTTTCAACCCTTATAGTCGTATTTATCCTGGAAGCCACCTCTATTGAGGTACAATTGCAAACAAAGGCTTTAGCTAAGCTTACAACAGCCTTCCCAGTAAAAGGAGCCTCAAAGCTCACTATGGACAGTTCCTGACTGTAATGACTTCACATCCGGTCCAGAGTGTCTTAGAAACCAAAGGCCATCAATGGATGATGGGAGGTTGACTTATTAAATATCAGGCTACACTTATAAATATGTCTGGAATAATACTTGAAACCTGTCATACTTTAAACCCAGCTACCCTTATGCCTGGACTTGATCATTATACTTCTATAGAGCATAATTGTTCAGAGGTTATTGATCTTGTTGATGCCAGTCAACCAGATTTAAAAGGAGCCCCTGTTGAAAATACAGATGAGAGTTGGTTTACTGATGACAGTAGTTTCATGGAAAAGGGAATAAGAAAAGCTGGGTATGCTACAGTGCTCTCTCGTGCTTTGCAATTGCCAAAGCCTTAAACGTTAATATTTATACTGACTCCAAATATGCTTCCCTAGCTCTGCATGTCCATGGAGCAATTTGGAAGAAAAGGGGATTATTATCAAGCCATAACTCCCCAATCACACATGGGACTGAAATTATTTACTCTTCTTATGGCTGTACACCTACCTAAGGAGGTAGCTATAATTCACCTCAAAGGACATCAAAGGATATGACCTTAGAATCTAAAGGAAACAATTTGGTAAACTGTGCAGCCAAGCAGGCAGCACAAAATAAACAAATATTAAGTCTTTTACCAGTCTGAACTACAATAAAGTCCATAAGTCCAGTCTATTCAGACCAAGAAATGCACAAGACTGGCTTGTTAATAATGAAGGGAAAAATCTTTATACCCAAAAATAACCAATGGAAAGTAATACAGGATACACACCAGGGTACTGATTTGGGCAAAAAGGCCATGGAGGTGACAAAAACTTTGCTAAGAAAAACTGTCCCTAGGTTTGGACTCCCGTGGTCCCTACAAGGTGACAACAGACTCTCTTTTATTACACAAATTTAAAAGATGGCCCTCCAAAACTGAATAGCCTTTGATATCTTCACTGCAGTTAAAGGAGGCCCAGAATTCGATGACTGTCTCCTAACAGGACCCAATGGCTATATGGCTCTAACTCGTGTCCATGGCTTCCCCCAGGCTGGATAGGCCACTGTACTCTAGGTTTTGCCTGGATGCACGGATGTATTATTAAAACCATTATCAACCTGGTCAACCTTCCAAATGTAAAATGATGGTGGACATGTTCTGTGTCTCACTGGTAAAAACACATAACATCCATTTTTGTTCCCTCTTTGGAACTGGACGATGTTTTGTTTTTTTTTTTTTTTTTAAGATTTTATTTATTTGACCCGGTGGGGGCAGAGAGCAAAGAAGAAGAGGGAGAAGTAGGCCTTCCGATGAGCAGGGAGCCATAGGGCTCAATCCCAGGACTCTGGGATCATGACCTGAGCCAAAGGCAGATGCTTAACAACTGAGCCACCCCCAGGTGCCCCTACATACATGTTCTTTATTTTATTTATTTATTTATTTATTTATTTATTTAAGATTTTATTTATTTTGACAGAGAGAGACACAGCGAGAGAGGGAACACAAGCAGGGGGAGTGGGAGAGGGAGAAGCAGGCCTCCTGCCGAGTGGAGAGCTCGACGCGGGGCTCGATCCCAGGACCCCGGGATCATGACCGGAGCCAAAAGTAGATGCTTAATGACTGAGCCACCCAGATGCCCCTATTTATTTACTTTAAACAATTTTTAAAAAAGATTTTATTTATTTATTTGACAGAGACACAGCGAGAGAGGGAGCACAAGCAGAGGGAGTGGGAGAAGGAGAAGGAGGCTTCCCGTGGAGCAGGGAGCCTGATGTGGGGCTCCATCCCAGGACCCTGGGGTCATGACCTGAGCCGAAGGCAGACATTTAACCGACTGAGCCACCAAGGCGCCCCTGGACAATGTTGTTTGGCACATGGAAACTCTTAGGTACTTGGTCAAAGCCCTAAATGACACTCAAAATAATATTTCTCCATTAAATACTAAAGTAACGCAAATGCATGAAGTAGTTCTACATAATAGAAGGGCATTAGATGTTTTAACTGTTACACAAGGTGAAACTTGTGCTAGCATAAAAACAGAATGCTGTATATATGTTCCAGATTACCACAAAATATTTCTGGTTTTCTAACTGACATGAATACTCAAATTGGTGCTTTAAATGATCTCTTTCCTTTAATGATTGCTTTAAACTGGACTGGAGGAAAATTATCAGAGGTCAACTATCAAAGGACTCTTATTCAGACTTACCTATTTCTCATTATAATATTAACCTTATTTTGTTGTCATTTCCAGTGGCTCACTGCCTAGTGTCAAGACTCCTTCACTGCCGTACCTTCCAGCTAACAGATGATCCTTTCTACTCAAGGAGGTTCATCTATGTTGACGGCAATAGATTCAGCTGCCTCCCACTTTTGTAACTCCCCATACATTCCCCAACTGAGCAATACTGACCCATAGGTAGGGACATCTCTACACTCCTATTCAGTAGGAAGACTTTACAGAAGATGAAACCTTCCACCTTCAACAAACTTAAAGATTTAAGAGTCAAAATTGTTCAGGGAGGAAATGATGAGGGAACAAAAGGCAAGCTGAGGACAAATCAGAAGCTGACACCCCACACCTCCCAACCCCATGGGATATATGTGACATTCCTCAGGCACTCCTGGTTGCCCTAAAGGAAAAACAAATAGTTAGCTTACAGTACTCACAATCCTACAAGACGTGAGTCTCCCTCAATTTACCAAACACCTAGAATTTATAAGAACAAAGCATTTCTATCAATGGTCTAGCTTCCAGAAGGGACTGTAAATACAATTAAATGTCTTTATAATCTGCAGCCCATTGGCAGGTATTTGAAGCAGGCAAAATATAATGTTCCTCCAGGAAGCTCCCAACTATCTTACTGTTAATGCCTTAGAGGGGTAAACAACCTTAACGTGACAATGGCAAGGACTCCAGTATACTGTGAGTCTTCTTTAACATATGAAAGTTCTTTTGAAACCTCCCTTTTTCCTTACCCTCCCCAACCCCATAGCATATAATCAGCCACACCTCACAACCCGGGGCAGCAGCTCTTTCTGCCCCTGGGTCCTGCTTTAATAAACCATGATTTTGCACCAAAGACGTCTCAAGAATTCTTGGTGAACCCCACTGAACCTCACCTATATTCCAAAACCGCATCACTTGTTACCATCACACCTGCCACATTCTAAAGTAGATTTCATATTTCTGCGTTCAAGTTTCCTGTCCTTCCATGAACATAATAAAAGTCACATGAAGGCAGGACCACTTCTCTTGTGCCTGCATTTCTCCCATACACCTACACAAAGTTCCTGAAAACCCAGTATGAGCACAAAGCACATTTGTTAGAACAGTGAATTAACGTGACATTTGCATTTCCCTTTCGTTTTAACTTTTCCGGTTGCCCTAAATGTCCTCTTTACTTCTCCCTCCAAAATACTCTGAAAATTAGTGAAGGAAACCACATTTGACATGGAGTCAGTTGGCCCTGAAAGGGGAGATCTCGCACATGTATAATCAGCAGGAGGAAGGAGATACTTTTTTATCTTGATAAGGGAGCATGCTTTCTTGTTAGGATTGTAATCTCCTTTACACAAAAGAAAAGATGATAGCTCCTTGTGCCCGCAAGAATACACTAAACTTGGCATGCAGCCAATGAAAAACAGCCAGGACTTCAAAACCTCTTCTTCTTCAGTGACCTTTTTTTGAAAGCCGCCCCCTCCAATCTCCTTCTAAGACCTAATAAAAGCTGACGTTCCGTGATTCTCTTCAGACTTGCTTGTCGTTGGCCAGTGTACCTATCCGGACTTGAAATTCCTGTTCCTAAAGAAACTGTTTACTGGTGAAATAACTGGCTATTTACACTTGAGGTTGACAGTACTATGCCTCAATGTTCTCAGGAATGACAGGAGTCACATTTTGATGTTAAAAAGCCTCCCAATGTCCAGGCACATGGGTCTAGCACGGTGACATCTCTGTTTGATTCTATCTTTTCCTAGACGTGTGGCGCCTTCTAGAAGGTCTCTGAGGTGGTAAGTACCTTTAGCTTTTCCTGACGTGTGAGGAGACCTATGCTCTGGACCTCCGGGGTGGACGACGCCCCTCCTGAGACCGCCAGAGCTCCGGGAGCCGCCCCACCCGGAAGAGCCCGGCCCGCGGACGCGGCGAGCAGCCAATGAGGGAACAGCACACGGCGTTTCCAGGCGAGCGCAAGCCCCGGGGGCGGGACTTCCGGTCTCATCCGCCAGGAGGTCTCTCTGCCTCAGGTTGGGTCTGTTTGTCCCGTAAGCTGCCGGAGCGCGCGTCAGGCTCCGGTGACCGGCCGTGAAGACGCGAGGGGAGGCGCTGTCCTCGCCGCACGCGGTCGAGTCCGGGTGTCCGCCCACCTCCGGCCTCGCTCGGCCCAGCGAGTCCGATGGCGGCGGCCGCGCGCAGGGGCCCGGCTCCGGTAAGCGTCGTCCCCGCACCCAGACCCCCGCGGCCCAGGCCCCGGCGTCCGGGACAGGCGGGCGGCGGCGGGCGGGGGCCCCGTGCGGGAGCGGGCTCCGGGCCGAGGGCGGCCGGGGCCGAGGCGGGAGGGGGCCGCGCCAGCGGCGGGCAACAGCAGCTCGCCGTCCTTCCTGTCGGGAGCGCAGTGCCGCGCGGCCGTGAGGCCCGTCCCCTCGCTGCCCGAGAAGCCCGTCTCTCCTGGCGGGCGTGAGGTGGGCTCGGCCGGGTGTGAATAGGCGTTCTCCGGCCGCCAGAGGGGAGAGCCCGCCGCGGGGCTAAGCGAGGAGGCAATGGCAGGAGTCGGTGGCACTGTCCGCGGACTGCTGCTCGGCCCGCCTCGGATGTCGGAGGACTGGTGGACTCCTGGGGTACGTTCTGAGAAGGGCTACGGCAAAGGGTGGGTGTTGCAGGTGAGGAGAGAAGGGGGAGCGAGGGAGGCCCCGGGGCTTCGGGTCCGTGACCCTAAGAACGAAGCAAGAGCGGACAGTTATTTTACCCGCACGAACGGGTTTCTGTGGAGACGGAAGAGAAGTGCAGTTTGGAACGGAGAAGCGGAGTCCAAGCAGTAGGTCGGCGCGGAGGGCAAGAGGGGTGGTCTTTTTTCAGGGGAAAGGGGTGAAGTCGGGAAGGTGTTGTAAACGTAAGTCCCCTGGAGGCAACGGGAAGTGCTGGTACAGTGGCTTCTCATTGGCTGAGCCGTTGGGTGGGGCGCTCAGGACAGACTGTCTTTTTGGGTCTGTGCTTGTGAAGAAGTATCCCCATATAAGGTCAAGTCCGTCTCTGTGGGTTGCGTCTGCAGTTGATCACTGGCAGTGCCTGAGAGCTCCCTGTGCCTCAACCTCCCGACTCCATTTCCGTGAGGTTTCCCATCACTGATTTTCACAGGTCCTGGCAGCTGAAGGGACGGAAGCGCCCATCAGCCTGATGGAAGTTAGCAGTCGGTTGCGTATCCTTGGGGATGTCCTACCTTGTTTTGACATTGTTAAGCGACTTAGATGTTCGGAGAAGTGTGAGTGATGGTGCCAAGTGGGCAGCTGGACAAGATGTTTTGGGAAACTGGGGGAAGGTTTCAGGATGGAGGGTTTGAAAAGTGATGGCTGCTGTGTGGCCCGGGTGGAGATCTGGATCACAACTAGGAAGGGAATGCAGAGTATCATGGTAATACTGCTAGTAGGTCAGAGGGTCCTAGTAAAGTCTGCTGAAGAGTGGTTTTCTTCCTCAGCATGTGCTTGGGGTTGCTGGGCATTGTGAACACAGGTGAAGGAGAGAGAATGATCTGGCAGAAACATGGGCAAGCCTTCCCTGGGATGATGGGACAAGAGGTAGCTGAGGACAACTAGGAGTTTTGTGGGGTTTGTTTTGTTTTTTAATTTCTTTGTTTAAGTAGGCTCCATTCCCAGTGTGGAGCCCAGCATGAGTCTTGAACGCATGACTCTGAGATCAAGACCTGTGCTGAGATCAAGAGTCAGATGCTGAACCCAGTAAGCCACCCAGGCGGCCCCTCCTACGAGTATTTGAGAGGTTGGGGATTCTCTTTATTTAGTATTGTAGGGCTTCACCAGAATCTTGTGGTCAGCTCTTACGGTGTCTGCGGTATTGCAAAGTCTTGCCGCTGGGAAAGTTCTGGAGCAGATGTCATTTGTGGTTCGCTTTGCCTGGCAAGGAGACCTTTAGCGCTCGGGTTTTCACAAAGGTTCAGTGGAGAGTGGTGGGTTCTGATTGTTGAGGGACAGTATGGGTGGCACAGAAGTAAAAGAGGGTCTATGAGTACTCTAAGCTGACATGTGGTTGTGAGTGTCTGTTATTGAAGGGAAGATTACAGGCAGGTGAGGAGGGCTTCTCAGCAGCATTTGAGGCTTTCCCTCATTTGGGATCCCTGAGAGTCCTGGGGTGGGACTGGAACCTGTTTGAGTTTGTCAAACATCCTTTGGATGTCATGTGACAAGCACAAGTGTGAGTCAAGGGAGGATCCTTTGGTGTGGGGAGGAAGGTGTGGGAGTTCATCTGTGGGGCCTGAAGACGTGAGAGTGGTACAGTCTACAGAATCCTGTACACATGGAGGGGAAGTGTGAGCTAAAGGCCTCAGCGCCCAGGTACTGAAGACTTCCGGGTAAAGCAGGGCCTATAATTGGCTGTCTTGAGGGCACAACTGGGAGACTCCATGGGAATGTCGTGGCAGAGGGATGGGACCTTGCAGGCCAGACCCAGAGCTTAGAGTGCATCCATGTGTCCCCCTGCCTGTTACTGCTGAGGACTGAACACAGTGATTGATGGGAAGGTGAGAGGAGAGCAGCATTAGAGGCACCAGGTATTTATTCTGAGGTGGGGAGACTGGGGTGGATGTGGGGGGGTTGGATTGTGGGTTCTCAGATAAAGAATGTTCATGGTTTCATTTGTCCTTTTCATGAAAGGGTGGTGTGACCTTTGAGGACATTGCCGTGTACTTCTCCTGGAAGGAGTGGAAGCTTCTTGATGAGACTCAGAGACGGCTCTACCACCATGTGATGCTGGAGAACTTTACACTTATATCCTCACTGGGTAAGGCCCTCAGCCTCCCCTTTGACCTGGACTAGACTCTGTACTCCCGCGTCCCCCCTCTGCATTTTCCAGGATAGGTTAGTCCTTCTCTCGTGTGGACTGTGGGCACTGCTTGCTTCCCCAGCTTTCTGGTTAGTTGCTTTTGTTGCTAGCTCTGAGTTGTTGGTGTGCCCTTTTCTCTGCCCTGCAGCTCCCAGTACTCTCTGTGCTGAGCCCTGATCAGGTAAGATTGGAGGTCAGTGGTCATGCAGTGAGGCTAATGGTTTGCACCTTGCTTGCTCTCTCCCTGGCTGGTCCGTGTATCCAGATCCATGACTTCTCGATGGCCTAGGTCTTGACCCTTCTCTTAGGTGACATTCCATTGTGCCTTCCTGTGCCTGAAATTGGAGGCATTGGTATGGTCACTACTTTAGTGGACCGTGGGCTAGTTCTCAAGAATGTCCTTTATGGATCTTTTGGTTTTAGTTTTAGTTTTTTTTTTTTTTAAAGAGTTTATTTATTTATTTGACAGAGGGAGATACAGCAAGAGAGGGAACACAAGCAGGGGGAGTGGGAGAGGGAGAAGCAGGCTTCCCGCAGAGCAGGGAGCCCGATATGGGGCTCGATACCAGGACCCTGGGATCATGACCTGAGCCGAAGGCAGACGCTTAACGACTGAGCCACCCAGGCGCCCCTGGTTTTAGTTTTTAAAGATTTTATTCATTTATTTGTCAGAGAGCAAGAGAGAGCAGCAGGCAGAGGGAGAAGCAGGCTCCTCGCTGGGCGGGGAGCCCAAAGTGGGACTCAATCGCAGGACCCTGGGATCATGACCTGAGCCGGAGGCAGACGCTTAACTGACTGAGCCACCCAGGCGTCCCTGTATGGATCTTTTTGTAATGTTTACAACTTTTCTTCTGTCTGCCCCCCTCCTTCAGGTTTGTTAGGTATGATTGACAAATCAAATTATTATTGAAAGTATTACATAATGATTTCATGTATTTATTTATTTATTTATTTTTTTAAGATTTTATTTATTTATTCATGAGAGACAGAGACAGAGAGAGAGAGGCAGAGGGAGAAGCAGGCTCCCAAGGAGCAGGAAGCCCGATGTGGGACTCGATCCCAGGACCCTGAGATCATGACCTGAGCCGAAGGCAGACGCTTAACCATCTGAGCCACCCAGGCGCCCCGATTTCATGTATTTAAACATTATGAAATTAGTACCAAAATGAAGTTAATCAACAGAACCATTCTTGGCATAGTTACCTTTGTTGTTGGTGGTGGTGAGAAAGCTTAATATCTACCGTCTTAGCAAATTTCAGGTCTACAAAATGCAGTATTAACTGTAGTCAACATGCTGTAATAGGTCCTCAGAAATCGATCATCATGTAAATGTGTGTATCCCTGACCACCATCTGCCCCCCTCTTCATGTGCACAGGTGCTCTCTCAGTCTCTCTCTCACAAATAAGTCTTTAAAATAAAAAAAAAGGAGGGCGCCTGGGTGGCTCAGTTGGTTAAGCGACTGCCTTCGGCTCAGGTCATGATCCTGGAGTCCCGGGATCGAGTCCCGCATCGGGCTCCCTGCTCAGCGGGGAGTCTGCTTCTCCCTCTGACCCTCCTCCCTCTCATGCTCTCTGTCTCTCATTCTCTCTGTCTCAAATAAACAAAATCTTAAAAATAAATAAATAAATAAAAATTAAAAAAAGGATATCCATGTAAATAATGCCATACAGTATTTGTCTTTTCTGTGTGATGATTTTGCTTAGCATAATGTTTTCCAAGTTCCTCCATGTTGTGGCAAGTGGCAGTGTTGCCTTTTTATGACTGAGTTTTCATGCATGTGCGTGTTTACTGGATGTTCTTTTTTTTTTAAGATATATTTATTTATTGGGGCGCCTGGGTGGCTCAGTCGTTGGGCGTCTGCCTTCGGCTCAGATCATGATGCCGGGGTCCTGGGATCGAGCCCCGCATCGGGCTCCCTGCTCCGCGGGAAGCCTGCTTCTCCCTCTCCCACTCCCCCCGCTTGTGTTCCCTCTCCTGCTGTGTCTCTCTCTGTCAAATAAATAAATAAAATCTTTTTTTTTTTTTTTAAGATTTTATTTATTTATTTGAGAGAGAGAGAGAATGAGAGACAGAGAGCATGAGAGGGAGGAGGGTCAGAGGGAGAAGCAGACTCCCTGCCGAGCAGGGACCGCGATGTGGGACTCGATCCCCGGACTCCAGGATCATGACCTGGGCCGAAGGCAGTCGCTTAACCAACTGAGCCACCCAGGCGCCCCAATAAATAAAATCTTAAGAAAAAAAAAAAAAAAGATATATTTATTTATTTATTTGTTAGAGCACGCACAAGCAGGAAGAGTGACAGGCAGAGGGAGAAGCAGGATCCCCGCTGAGCAAGGAGCCCCATGTGGGGCTAGGTCCCAGGACCCTAGGATTATGACCCGAGCCGAAGGCAGATGCTTAACTGACTAGCCACCCAGGCGTCCCGTGTTTCCAAAATGTTCTTTGTCACCTTACTATTTTGCTTAAGAGTTAAAAAAATTTTTTTTAGCGATCTCTACACCCCGTGTGGGGCTGGAGCTCAGGACTCCTGTGATCAAGTGTCGCATGCTCTACCTACTGAGCCTGCCAGCACCTCCCCTCCCCCCGCCCCGCCCTGCCCCAGATGTTCTTTGTAACTCTAAACCCTGACACACACTTAAAGAGGTTGCTATATTTTGGCTATTGTGAACAGTACTGCAGTGGACAGGGACGTGAGGATAGTTTGCGGAGATACTGATTTTGTTGCATTGGGATACACACATAGCTGGTATTGGCAATGGTGGAACATATGGTCATCTGTTTTTAACTTTTTGTGTGCCCTCCCTAATGTGTTCCATCATGACTTCTGAAATTGATATGCCCAGCAATAGTATTCAGGGGTTCGCTTTTCTCCACATCCTCACCAACCTGTCTTGTCTTTTTGGTAATAGCCATTGTAAGAACTACGAGGTGATACCTAGTGGTGTTGGTTTTCATTTCTGTGATGATCAGGGATTGTGAGCTCGAGTTGGGCACTTGAACGTCTCCTTTTCAGTCTTTTGTGTGTTTCTTTGGCTCTGCTGCAACTTTTCCATTTGGTATAGTCCTACTTGTTGGCTTTTGCTTTCGTTATATATGCTTTGGGTGTCCTATTCAAAAAATCATTGCCAGGAGTAGGGTTAAAGAGGGTTTTCCTGGGCGCCTGGGTGGCTCAGTTGGTTAAGTGACTGCCTTCGGCTCAGGTCATGATCCTGGAGTCCTGGGATCAAGTCCCGCATCGGGCTCCCTGCTCAGCAGGGGGTCTGCTTCTCCCTCTGACCCTTTTCCCTCTCGTGCTCTTTGTCTCTCATTCTCTGTCTCTCAAATAAATAAAATCTTAAAAAAAGAAAGAAAGAGGCTTTTCCGTCTGTTTTTGCTGGGAGTTTTAGGGTTTCAGGTCATAAGTTTCTGTCTTTAATCAATTACACGTACGTTTCAAGGATGTTGTAAGATGGGGATCCACTCTTATTGTTTATTCATTTGGATACTCCGATTTCCCAGCAGTGGTAGAAAGAGGTTATTTCTTCCCCAGTGTCGTTTCTTGGCATAACTATCAAAGAGTAGTTGACTGTGTATGTGTGGCTGTCCTTATGGGCTTGTCCTTCTATTCCGTTGTTCTATTTTTATGCCAGTACCCAATTGTTTTGAATTGTCTAGCTTTGTGATCTAGTTTGAAATCAGAAATGTGCTGCTTAAAGATTTGATCTTCTTTCTGAAGATGGCTTTGGCTTTAGGCTTTGGTTGACTTGGTGGCAAATGTTCCCGTGTCCTCCGAGGAGCAGGAAGCTGGAGGCTCTGCTGAGCAGGGACTGCAGTCGCACCCACCCTGTGGCAGATGGAGGTAGCCCCAGGCCTTATTTCGCACCCGTCCCCACGTCTCTGCTAATAACAGTCTCCAGCCGTCTTTTCTGTGTGCTTGGGCCCTCTTTTATGCTCCACTGTGTACTAGTCCGTCTTAATTGGACGGTTGAGCCCTCGGAGGCTAATGTCATTCATGGACAGCTGTTGTGTTGATTTTTCTTGGGGTTAAGGATGGTATCTCCCATTCTACCTTCCTGCTGATAACAGTTCCATAGGACATTTTTCTGTGTCCATCGTGTCCTGAGTAGCTCTAGGACACTGCTGGCGGTCGACTTGGCCTGTTTTCCTACAGCATTTCTATCTTCCTGGTATCCTGTAGTTGCTCAGCTGCGGCTTACAGGGAGGAGTGCCTTGTGTATCAAAGCATGGACATGCTCCAGACATGACCAGGTGGCGTCATAGGGAGCCTGTTTCTCATGAATGTTAGCTGGCAATGGTGTGCTATCAGGCCTGTGTTTGATCATACTGGGCAGTATGTTTGTTTGTTCAGCCAGAGTTTGGTGCCATTGCCGATGGCCACACCCCGTTTCTGTCTTTCCTTCCTCGTTGTTGACATTTTTTTGTCAAATGGATTCTACTCCTTTGGTAATTCCGTGAATTCCAGTACAGGGATAATCCCTGCATCTCAGGTGTCCACATCTCACCCATTTCTGTCACTGCTCTTTCTGCGTACCTCAACATTCACCCCCAAACATTTTGAAATGAGATATTCACGTGTCCTTAAACTGACCTTGACTGCAGTCAATTTCGTGTGATTGGATTGTGCTGCCCCCGTCTACTCAGCCAAACACCAGCAGCACAAACGGTCCTACACAAACCTTTGTGTAGGCAGAAAACAAGTTGTAGACCGTGGCTCTCTTCCTTGTGTCATACCCTAGTTTTTTGTCCTTCTGGTGTGCTCTCCATAATACTTTGACCACTCGGGCCCAGTAATGCACGTCGGCCACTCCTTCAGTTGAATTTCATCTCCTGTGTGTGGAAAAGCATGCTATACGGTCCTGCCTGGATGAGTCGGGTGCATGTATGTGATGGCTCACCCCCTCGCTATAGTCAACACAAATTTCACCAGCGCTTCTTTGCCTTCAGGTTGTTGCTGTGGAGCAGAGGATGAGGAGGCACCCTTTGCCCAGAGCACTTCTGTAGGCGTGTCACAGACCAGGACGCCCAAGGCAGCTCAGTCTTCCCGGAAGACCCACCCCTGTGAGATGTGTGGTCCAGTCTTGAGAGGCATTTTCCACTTGGCTGCGCACCAGGGAAAAGAAAACAGCCAGAGACTGTTGAGGTGTGGGGCCTGTGGGAAACGATTTTATTTCATTACTGACTTCAGAAAACATGAGAAACAGCACATGGGAGAGAAACCCTTCAGAAGCCGTGTGGACAGGGCCTCTGTTGTGAAGAGCTGGGGATTCCATGGTGCAGGAAAGCCCCTTACCTGTGGAGAAGTTCAGAAGGACTTCCTGTCTGGCTCGGGGCATCTGCAGCAAGAGGCCACTCGTACTGGGGAGAAGCCACACACGATCACCCAGTGCAGGGCAACTTTACAAAGCAGAAAAAGTCATGACACCTGGGGAGAATGCAAGAACGCCTTTGGTCCCAAACACACACATAGTCAGGACCAGGGTGTCCACTTTGGAAGACAGTCCTTTGTGTGCAGTGAATGCGGGAAAGCATTCAGGTACAAATCTTTATTTGCCATACACCAGAGATACCATACTGGAAAAACATACGAGTTTGGTCAATGTGGAAAATCCCTTAGGCAGACACCAACCCTGAATGAACATGGAAAGACTCACAGTGCATCCAGACAGTACACGTGCAGCAAATGTGGGAAATCCTTAGGCCGTAAATCTGTCCTCATTGAGCCCCAGGGATGGCACAGTGAGGTGAAGAGTTATGTTTGCAGTGGTTGTGCAAAAGCTGTGAGCTGTAGCTCAGTGTTGATTACTCATAGGGTTGAGTCTGGAGAAGGGTTTTATAAGTGTCGTGGCTGTGCAAAATCTTTTCCCTCTATGTCTGCCCTCTCATATCATCAGAGATCTCATGCAGGGAAAAGACGGTATGAGTGCAGTGATTGTGGGAAATCTTTTACCAGTAGTTCTGCCCTCCGTTCTCACCAGATAGTTCACACTGGTCAAAAGCCTTATAAATGCAGTGCATGTGGGAAATCCTTTGTTCGTAATTCTTCCCTACGTTATCACCAGGCAATTCATAGTGGAGAAAGGCCGTTTGAGTGTAACGAATGTGGCAAGTCTTTTATGAGTAGTAATGGCCTCCGTTATCACCATAATGTTCACAACGGAGTGAAGCCTTATAAGTGCCATGAATGTGGCAAATCTTTTATGAGTAGTTCTTGCCTTCGTTGTCATCAGACCACTCACACTGGAGAAAAGCCTTATAAGTGTGACGAGTGTGGGAAATCCCTTGCTAGTAGTTATTCCCTTCGTTCCCACCAGAGACTTCATACTGGAGAAAGGCCTTATGTGTGTATTGAATGTGGGAAATCCTTTCTCCATAAAGTTACCCTTAGTAAACACATAAAGCTTCACTCAGGTGAACGGCCTTATGAGTGTAATGAATGTGGGAAATCTTTTACTACTAGATATACCCTCCGTTATCACCAGCGAATTCATACTGGACAAAAGCCTTATCAGTGCACTGAATGTGGGAAATCTTGTACTACTAGTTCTGACCTCCGTAGTCACCAGAGAGTTCACACTGGAGAAAGGCCTTATGAGTGCAGTGAATGTGGGAAATCTTTTACTCGTAATTCTGCCTTCCGTTATCACCAGAGACTTCACACTGGAGAAAGGCCTTATGAGTGCTGTGAATGTGGGAAATCTTATACTAGTAGTGCTGCCCTCCGTTCACACCAGAGTGTTCACACTGGACAAAAGCCTTATGAATGCTGTGAATGTGGGAAAACTTTTACCACTAGTTCTGCCCTCCGTTATCACCAGAGATTTCACACTGGACAAAAGCCTTATAAGTGCAGTGAATGTGGCAAATCTTTTACCACTAGTAAACAGCTCCGTGTTCACCAGGTAGTTCACAGTGGAGAGAGGCCTTATGAATGCCCTGAATGTAGCAAATCCTTTTCACGAAAACATACACTCAATACACACAAAAAGCTTCACTCAGGTGAACGACCTTATGAGTGTAATGAATGTGGGAAATCATTTACTGTTAGTTCTACCCTCCGTTTGCACCAGAGAGTTCATACTGGAGAAAGACCTTATGTGTGTAATGAATGTGGGAAGTCTTTTACTGGTAGTTCTGCCCTCCGTTCGCACCAGAGTGTTCACACTGGAGAAAGGCCTTATGAGTGCCGTGAATGTGGGAAATCTTTTATCAGTCATAATGGTTTTAGATACCATTGCAGTCTTCACACTGCAGGAAAGATTTAAAATAGTACAGAAGGTGATACTTCCTTGCTTAGTATAGTTTAGGCTGGAGGACAACCTCTGAGGCAGCCACCTACCTGACTCGAACGTGGTTCACCTGAATGTCCACTGTGGAGTGACTTCCCATAAGTTCCAGCTATTTTCAGAAAAACTCAGAACCTGCATTGTGCTCTCTGGTGTGCATGCAGTCATTGCAAGATGGAAGCCCCTGTCAGTATCTGGCAGATGTCCTTTCACCTCTGCCACCTGGCGGTTCCCAATAGTGTGCATAAGTCACCACCCCAACATGGTTAATGATGCCAACCTGTCTGCTTTCTCATTTGCGCATCTGAATTATGGGTAATTGGAACTCCTCATTTCGTTCTAAGTTAGGGCATGGATGTGACCCAGTGTTGGTCCACAGTGGGTGATCTGAGTTCTGGGTGGTGACTTGCACAGGAAGACTAAATCCCATGGGGATGTTGTTGGTCTCGTGATGCTTTGATGACTGTTTGCAACTCCCAGGTCACCACACAGGAATTGTGTGCCACGTGTTGCTCTGGTTGATGCATTAGTAAACGCCATCTTGGTTTAGTTACCTTTAATCTTGTACATTGTGTGCATTCTAGGGGGTGGTTTGAAAGCAGGATTGGGCTCTCCCAACATGAGGGAACGAGTAGATTGCGCATCCCAGACTTGCTGTGTCTGAGAGGATAATTGCAAATAAATAAAAAATACGGATATACATATATACATAAATAATCCAGCTTCTGTGTTAATTTGCAGTATAACCCAATACCTTTGTGATGGGCTGAATTGTACCCCAAATCCATATTTTGAAGTTTTAACCCCCAGTCCCTCACAATGTTACAGTAGTTAGGTATAGCATCTTTAAAGCGATCATGAAGTTGAAATGCGTTATTAGGATGGACTCATGTAGAATGGCTGGCACCGTGATAGGGAGATGAGGATACAGGCACACACAGATGACCATGTAAAGACAGGGAATCCCCATCTACAAGCCAAGGAGAGAGGCCTCAGAAGAAACTAACCCTGCTGACACTTTATGTTTGATGTTGAGACTCCTCAAGTTTGGGGGGAAATAAATTTGTTGTCTAATCACCCTGTGTATGTTATTGTGTTATGGCAGTTCTAGCTAATACAGCCTCCCAGGATCCACATCTGGGTTTTGTGGTCTGGATGCTAGCAAGTTTTGTGTGCTCAGACGTCACCATGAAGAGGGAGCAGTTGAGACCATTCCAGTGGTGTGGAAACAACAGGAATATTTTGCTTCTCCACAGCTGATAGCACAGGATGCCAGGCGCTGTTGAGTGGAATCTCTACCCCAGATCCTTCAACGGAGCCTTGTGACCTGGTGTACAGTATTCACTTGTAACCCCACAGGGGCAGGGGAACTGTAATTTGTAATCTAGATGACTGGGTAATTAGGTACTTAGAGGACACATCAGGCCCCTGATGGAGTGTATGTCTTATAAAAGTATATCCACAGATGGTGTAGTGACTAGCTGGGCAGGATCAGTGTTCACAAATTCTTCACTTTGAGACCTACATCCTGTGTAACAGGTCATTATAAAATAATCTAAAGGTCCCTGAATTCTGATTTGCTCTCTGGTGCTTACATGTCAAGGCCATTGTGTTGCATGCAGGGAAAAGGTAAAGACAAGGGAGAATTCATCCTCCAGGGTTGTAGCTTTTGTGAGCCTGTCTGGCCAGTATGCTTGTTGGTATCCTAAAGGACTATGGCAGACACCTGTTCTGAAACATCCTCTTCCCAGGGTGTCTCCCAGGTACTCCCCAGCCTCTAGGGCTAAAAAAGCAGAAATTTTTGGAGGTGGTGGTGAGGAGTCCTACTCCCATTAATGGTTGCTAAAGATTTGTTTCTGTCCCAAAGTCCTTGAGTAAACCATTTCTCCTCTAGGTGGACTTCTCAGCCTTTTTCTTTGGCCTGAAGGCTTGGAGGTCGTTTTGCAAGTATGTCCCTTTCCATCAACAGTACTGTTCTCTTCTCTGGATGTGTACCACTGTTGATCTCTTCATCTGTTTGGAGCATGTGGGTTATTTCCAGTGTTTACCTTTCACAAACAAATCTCTCTATATAATTTTCATTATAATTCCTTATGCGGATAGCAGTTTCATTTCTCTTCTGCTAAATCTCAAAGCACAATGACTAGGCACAGGCAGGTGAGTGTTAACATTGTTATGAAAGGGCCAAATGGGGTCTGAAGGGTTCACTACTGCATTCCCACCAGGTATGAATGAGAGCTCCAGTATATTCATCCCTGCCAGTACTTGAGAGGGTCAGTCTTCAATGTCAGCCCTTTTAATACTTGTGTAGTGGTATGTTGTAATTGCATTTCCTAGAGACTTCTGCCTTTCAGCATTGTTTCATGTGTTTCTTTACCACCTGTATGTCTTCTTTCGTACAATTTCTGTTTACGTCATTGCCTATTTTCTTTCATGTGAGTTATCACTAGTTCCTTTTTATTTACAAATAAGACCTGTATAACAACTTTGGAATTTTCCTCATTTGCACATCGTGTGATATTTTTCTCGATGGAGTCTTAGCAATCCTGGAAGGCTATTTCCTAATTTTTCCTGAGATTTTTTGTGTCCTGCACAATGTCATGGACCAAAATACCTTACACGTTTAAGTCTAGGGTGCATTCCTACCATTATGGAATGCCTTTGTAAAGTCCAGGCCTTCAGAAATACAGAACTGCATCCCCGCTTTGTAGTGCTTGCCAAATTCCAAAGTATAAATTCTCCCATTATGAGAGTGGGGTATGCTCAAAGAAGGTGCTGAAAAACTACTTGGGTGTTTGGGGCGAAAACTTGGGCATGTGCAGGCAGGACACTTCACAACACTTAGCAGACAGCAGCTGTGGGGGCTGTGAGCTGGCTGGAGGTCTGTCTGCAGGAGCCTCACAGGCAGGAGACTTTAATCCTGACAGGCCAGAGGGGAGGGACGTCCCTGAACATCCTGACTGGTGACTGAAAATCTGGCTGGTCTCACGTTAGTAGTGACAAGGTTGTCGTGTACACTCACTCAGGTCAGAGTTGCTTCCTCTGAACCCACCCAGTACATTGTATGGACTTTCCTGCTCAAGTGATTACCTCCACATGATTTAATTCGTTCTCTTTGTGTTAAGAGTCGACTACTGGTCCGCAAAGGAGTCTACATTCCGTGCAGCACACCACAGCTGTGAGCCGTGTTTCCAGACAGCTGACAGGAGAAGGCTAGGGCCACTTCTGGCAGCTGCCTGCCTTGAAAGACTGGGAGCCAGGTAGAGCAAGGCCTTACCCAGAAGACTGGGGTCAGTGCTGGCCTTCCTCTCCACTGGAAGGACAGGAGTCGAGGTGGAGTAGGGCTTCTACCAGAAGGAAAAGGGTCCCCAGGTCAGGCAGGTCAGGCAGGTTAGTGTCGGAATCTGCTAGGGCTGTTTTGCCTTGTACCCAGGTAAGATCATGGTCTCATCTGGAAGGTTCAGCCAAGAAGAGGCCTGCAGAGGGACCATGATGCTGGGTGGGAGGGCAAGTGTGGTGCAGGGATGGGAGCACCTGCAGGAGGCTGACAAGCGTGGAGGCGATTCAGGAAGGTTCCTCCGTGCTGCATCCCTTAACTTCCTCTGGAGCTGATGTTCCCATGTTTGGAACCTGAAGGTAAGGCCCTGCCCAGAGCTGCGGCCATTCTAGACCAGGTATGAGACAGAACAGTCCAGAGGTGAGTCCTCGATTCCTCCCACATGCACCAACAGGACTGCTGGCGCCTTCTGGTGCCGATGAGGCATAGAAGGCTGTACTAAACTCAGATTAGGTTGTCCACGATTATCTTTACAGGAAGAGACCTCAACAAATTATGGTTGGTCAACAAATAGGACTTTGTTGTAGTGTTGGGGCATGGGGGTGAAAGAGCGCCTAGCCTGGGGGTCCCAAACAGACTAGGTTTGGCCACTCCCTGGTGACAAAATCCAAAGTCAGAGAAAGCAGTGGTGGTAAACAAGAAAGGAATCTCAGGGAGCCCAACACAGAGAAGACCATGGCCGAACCTCTCAATGATTGTCTCCAAAGGGCTGAGAAACACTTCCAGGTTTATAGAAGGAAAACGTGGGGCCAAGGTGGATGGGTACATGCAGGTAGGCAGTGAAAGTCAAATAGATCATAGTCCTGGAGTCAGTCATGGGTGGGGACTTGCTGGCTCAGGGCAATCCTTACTGCTCGAGGGGGTAGTTTTTGTTCCCATCAGGGGATGCCTTGCCAGCAGGGTCTTCCATCTGAGTCTAGAGACAAGCTGGAAAGAAGAACCCGACTAGAAAGTTTGAGGTCAAAATGGGGGCAGCCGAAATCCTCTTTCTGTACTAAGAAAAACAGTATGTATGGGTGAAGCCACCTCAGGCCCTCCAGCCACCTAGTAATCTTGAAGGTTTAACAAGCACCCTTAGACTCCATGATGGGTTATCCTTTCTCTGTTTATCTATAGGTCATGCTTTCTCTCCTGGAAAGAGCTGATCATTCTGCATGCCACAAAACAGAACAGACCGTTTTGCACGACCCCTAGGCACTAAGGAACCAGACCCCCTTGCACAACCTCCCAGCACTGTGGTAACATCTGTAGCTGCACCATCGAGTGTGCATGTAGTCAAGAAACGTTTCAGACCTCTGTGCTCCCTTTATTGGTGAACTGCCCTAAAGTTTTTATTTTTTTTTTTTAAAGGTTTTTATTTATTTGACAGAGAGAGAGCACAAGTAGGCAGAGTGGCAGTCAGAGGGAGAGAGAGAAGCAGGCTTCCTGCTGAGCGGGGAGCCCGACGCAGGGCTCGATCCCAGGACCCCGGGATCATGACCTGAGCTGAAGGCAGAGGCTTAACGACTGAGCCACCCAGGCGCCCCTGCCCTAAGCTTTAGAAACACAAGTGTGAGGCAGAAACTTTGGATTTGGCCTCTGCACAAGAGTCCACCTTCTCCCCAGCCTCCTGATGAAAACTCATATTCCTTTCCAGTTAACATTTTCTATGTTCATCGAAGAGCTGTAATCCCTTAATACGAGAAAAACAGACATTTTAGATATTCCTTTTTTAAGGAGGGAAATTAACGTGTGCTTCCCTTTTTCCCTTCATACTCGCTTGCGGTTGGCCACAGTGTACTTACCCGGACTTGAAATTCCTCTGTTCCTGAAGAAATTTACACTTAAGGTTGACAGTACTATGCCTCAGTGTTTTCAAGAATGACAAAAGTCACATTTTGATGTTAAAAAGCCTCCCAATGTGCAGGCACATGGTCTAGCACGGTGACATCTCTGTTTGATTCTATCTTTTCCTAGACGTGTGGCGCCTTCTAGAAGGTCTCTGAGGTGGTAAGTACCTTTAGCTTTTCCTGACGTGTGAGGAGACCTATGCTCTGGACCTCCGGGGTGGACGACGCCCCTCCTGAGACCGCCAGAGCTCCGGGAGCCGCCCCACCCGGAAGAGCCCGGCCCGCGGACGCGGCGAGCAGCCAATGAGGGAACAGCACACGGCGTTTCCAGGCGAGCGCAAGCCCCGGGGGCGGGACTTCCGGTCTCATCCGCCAGGAGGTCTCTCTGCCTCAGGTTGGGTCTGTTTGTCCCGTAAGCTGCCGGAGCGCGCGTCAGGCTCCGGTGACCGGCCGTGAAGACGCGAGGGGAGGCGCTGTCCTCGCCGCACGCGGTCGAGTCCGGGTGTCCGCCCACCTCCGGCCTCGCTCGGCCCAGCGAGTCCGATGGCGGCGGCCGCGCGCAGGGGCCCGGCTCCGGTAAGCGTCGTCCCCGCACCCAGACCCCCGCGGCCCAGGCCCCGGCGTCCGGGACAGGCGGGCGGCGGCGGGCGGGGGCCCCATGCGGGAGCGGGCTCCGGGCCGAGGGCGGCCGGGGCCGAGGCGGGAGGGGGCCGCGCCAGCGGCGGGCAACAGCAGCTCGCCGTCCTTCCTGTCGGGAGCGCAGTGCCGCGCGGCCGTGAGGCCCGTCCCCTCGCTGCCCGAGAAGCCCGTCTCTCCTGGCGGGCGTGAGGTGGGCTCGGCCGGGTGTGAATAGGCGTTCTCCGGCCGCCAGAGGGGAGAGCCCGCCGCGGGGCTAAGCGAGGAGGCAATGGCAGGAGTCGGTGGCACTGTCCGCGGACTGCTGCTCGGCCCGCCTCGGATGTCGGAGGACTGGTGGACTCCTGGGGTACGTTCTGAGAAGGGCTACGGCAAAGGGTGGGTGTTGCAGGTGAGGAGAGAAGGGGGAGCGAGGGAGGCCCCGGGGCTTCGGGTCCGTGACCCTAAGAACGAAGCAAGAGCGGACAGTTATTTTACCCGCACGAACGGGTTTCTGTGGAGACGGAAGAGAAGTGCAGTTTGGAACGGAGAAGCGGAGTCCAAGCAGTAGGTCGGCGCGGAGGGCAAGAGGGGTGGTCTTTTTTCAGGGGAAAGGGGTGAAGTCGGGAAGGTGTTGTAAACGTAAGTCCCCTGGAGGCAACGGGAAGTGCTGGTACAGTGGCTTCTCATTGGCTGAGCCGTTGGGTGGGGCGCTCAGGACAGACTGTCTTTTTGGGTCTGTGCTTGTGAAGAAGTATCCCCATATAAGGTCAAGTCCGTCTCTGTGGGTTGCGTCTGCAGTTGATCACTGGCAGTGCCTGAGAGCTCCCTGTGCCTCAACCTCCCGACTCCATTTCCGTGAGGTTTCCCATCACTGATTTTCACAGGTCCTGGCAGCTGAAGGGACGGAAGCGCCCATCAGCCTGATGGAAGTTAGCAGTCGGTTGCGTATCCTTGGGGATGTCCTACCTTGTTTTGACATTGTTAAGCGACTTAGATGTTCGGAGAAGTGTGAGTGATGGTGCCAAGTGGGCAGCTGGACAAGATGTTTTGGGAAACTGGGGGAAGGTTTCAGGATGGAGGGTTTGAAAAGTGATGGCTGCTGTGTGGCCCGGGTGGAGATCTGGATCACAACTAGGAAGGGAATGCAGAGTATCATGGTAATACTGCTAGTAGGTCAGAGGGTCCTAGTAAAGTCTGCTGAAGAGTGGTTTTCTTCCTCAGCATGTGCTTGGGGTTGCTGGGCATTGTGAACACAGGTGAAGGAGAGAGAATGATCTGGCAGAAACATGGGCAAGCCTTCCCTGGGATGATGGGACAAGAGGTAGCTGAGGACAACTAGGAGTTTTGTGGGGTTTGTTTTGTTTTTTAATTTCTTTGTTTAAGTAGGCTCCATTCCCAGTGTGGAGCCCAGCATGAGTCTTGAACGCATGACTCTGAGATCAAGACCTGTGCTGAGATCAAGAGTCAGATGCTGAACCCAGTAAGCCACCCAGGCGGCCCCTCCTACGAGTATTTGAGAGGTTGGGGATTCTCTTTATTTAGTATTGTAGGGCTTCACCAGAATCTTGTGGTCAGCTCTTACGGTGTCTGCGGTATTGCAAAGTCTTGCCGCTGGGAAAGTTCTGGGGCAGATGTCATTTGTGGTTCGCTTTGCCTGGCAAGGAGACCTTTAGCGCTCGGGTTTTCACAAAGGTTCAGTGGAGAGTGGTGGGTTCTGATTGTTGAGGGACAGTATGGGTGGCACAGAAGTAAAAGAGGGTCTATGAGTACTCTAAGCTGACATGTGGTTGTGAGTGTCTGTTATTGAAGGGAAGATTACAGGCAGGTGAGGAGGGCTTCTCAGCAGCATTTGAGGCTTTCCCTCATTTGGGATCCCTGAGAGTCCTGGGATGGGACTGGAACCTGTTTGAGTTTGTCAAACATCCTTTGGATGTCATGTGACAAGCACAAGTGTGAGTCAAGGGAGGATCCTTTGGTGTGGGGAGGAAGGTGTGGGAGTTCATCTGTGGGGCCTGAAGACGTGAGAGTGGTACAGTCTACAGAATCCTGTACACATGGAGGGGAAGTGTGAGCTAAAGGCCTCAGCGCCCAGGTACTGAAGACTTCCGGGTAAAGCAGGGCCTATAATTGGCTGTCTTGAGGGCACAACTGGGAGACTCCATGGGAATGTCGGGGCAGAGGGATGGGACCTTGCAGGCCAAACCCAGAGCTTAGAGTGCATCCGTGTGTCCCCCTGCCTGTTACTGCTGAGGACTGAACACAGTGATTGATGGGAAGGTGAGAGGAGAGCAGCATTAGAGGCACCAGGACCTGGTATTTATTCTGAGGTGGGGAGACTGGGGTGGATGTGGGGGGGGATTGGATTATGTGTTCTCAGAGAGAGAACGTTCATGGTTTCATTTGTCCTTTTCATGAAAGGGTGGTGTGACCTTTGAGGACATTGCCGTGTACTTCTCCTGGAAGGAGTGGAGGCTTCTTGATGAGACTCAGAGACGGCTCTACCACCATGTGATGCTGGAGAACTTTACACTTATATCCTCACTGGGTAAGGCCCTCAGCCTCCCCTTTGACCTGGACTAGACTCTGTACTCCCGAGTCCCCCCTCTGCATTTTCCAGGATGGGTTAGTCCTTCTCTCATGTGGACTGTGGGCACTGCTTGCTTCCCCAGCTTTCTGGTTAGTTGCTTTTGTTGCTAGCTCTGAGTTGTTGCTGTGCCCTTTTCTCTGCCCTGCAGCTCCCAGTACCCTCTGTGCTGAGCCCTGATTGGATAAGATTAGAGGTCAGTGGTCATGCCGTGAGGCTGATGGATCGCACCTTGCTTGCCCTCTCCCTGGCTGGGTCCATGTGTTCAGATCCATGACTTCTCGATGGCCTAGGTCTTGACCCTTCTCTTAGGTGACATTTCCTTGTGCCTTCCTGTGCCTGAAATTGGAGGCATTGGTATGGTCACCGCTTTAGTGGACTGTGGTCTAGTTCTCAAGAATGTCCTGTATGGATCTTTTGGTTTTAGTAGTTAAAGATTTTATTCATTTATTTGTCAGAGAGAGAGCAAGAGAGAGCAGCAGGCAGAGGGAGAAGCAGGCTCCTCGCTGGGCGGGGAGCCCGAAGTGGGACTCAATCCCAGGACCCTGGGATCATGACCTGAGCCGGAGGCAGACGCTTAACCGACTGAGTCACCCAGGCGTCCCTGTATGGTTCTTTCTGTAATGTTTACATCTCTTCTTCTGCCTGCCCTCCTCCTTCAGGTTTGTTAGGTATGATTGACAAATCAAATTATTATTATTGAAAGTATTACATAATGATTTCATGTACTTAAACATTATGAAATTAGTACCAAAATGAAGTTAATCAACAGAACCATTCTTGGCATAGTTACCTTTGTTGTTGGTGGTGGTGAGAAAGCTTAATATCTACCCTCTTAGCAAATTTCAGCTCTACAAAATGCAGTATTAACTGTAGTCAACATGCTGTAATAGTTCCTCAGAACTCAATCATCATGTAAATGAAAGTGTGTATCCCTGACCACCATCTGCCTGCCTCTTCATGTGCACAGGCACTCTCTCAGTCTCTCTCTCACAAATAAGTCTTTAAAATAAAAAAAAAGATATCCATGTAAATAATGCCATACACTATTTGTCTTTTATGTGTGATGATTTCACTTAGCATAATGTTTTCCAAGTTTCCTCCATGTTGTGGCAAGTGGCAATGTTGCCTTTTTATGACTGAGTTTTCATGCATGTGCGTGTTTACTGGACTTTTTTTTTTTTTTTTTAAGATATATTTATTTATTTATTTGTTAGAGCACGCACAAGCAGGGGGAGTGACAGGCAGAGGGAGAAGCAGGATCCCCGCTGAGCAAGGATCCTCATGTGGGGCTAGGTCCCAGGACGCTAGGATTATGACCTGAGCTGAAGGCAGATGCTTAACCGACTGAGCCACCCAGGCGTCCCGTGTTTCCAAAATGTTCTTTGTCACCTTACTATTTTGCTTAAGAGTTAAAAAAACTTTTTTCTAGTGATCTCTACACCCCGTGTGGGGCTGGAGCTCAGGACTCCTGTGATCAAGTGTCGCATGCTCTACCTACTGAGCCTGCCAGCACCCCCCCTCCCCCCGCCCCGCCCTGCCCCAGATGTTCTTTGTAACTCTAAACCCTGACACACACTTAAAGAGGTTGCTATATTTTGGCTATTGTGAACAGTACTGCAGTGGACAGGGACGTGAGGATAGTTTGCGGAGATACTGATTTTTGTGCATTGGGATACACACATAGCTGGTATTGGCAATGGTGGAACATATGGTCGTCTGTTTTTAACTTTTTGTGTGCCCTCCCTAATGTGTTCCATCATGACTTCTGAAATTGATATGCCCAGCAACAGTATTCAGGGGTTCGCTTTTCTCCACATCCTCACCAACCTGTCTTGTCTTTTTGGTAATAGCCATTGTAAGAACTACGAGGTGATACCTAGTGGTGTTGGTTTTCATTTCTGTGATGATCAGGGATTGTGAGCTCGAGTTGGGCACTTGAACGTCTCCTTTTCAGTCTTTTGTGTGTTTCTTTGGCTCTGCTGCAACTTTTCCATTTGGTATAGTCCTACTTGTTGGCTTTTGCTTTCGTTATATATGCTTTGGGTGTCCTATTCAAAAAATCATTGCCAGGAGTAGGGTTAAAGAGGGTTTTCCTGGGCGCCTGGGTGGCTCAGTTGGTTAAGCGACTGCCTTCGGCTCAGGTCATGATCCTGGAGTCCCGGGATCGAGTCCCGCATCAGGCTCCCTGCTCAGCAGTGGTCTGCTTCTCCCTCTTGACCTTTTCCCCTCTCGTGCTCTTTGTCTCTCATTCTCTCTCAAATAAATAAATAAAATCTTAAAAAAAAAAAAAAAGAAAGAGGCTTTTCCCTCTGTTTTTGCTGGGAGTTTTAGGGTTTCAGGTCATAAGTTTCTGTCTTTAATCAATTACACGTACGTTTCAAGGATGTTGTAAGATGGGGATCCACTCTTATTGTTTATTCATTTGGATACTCCGATTTCCCAGCAGTAGTAGAAAGAGGTTATTTCTTCCCCAGTGTCGTTTCTTGGCATAACTGTCAAAGAGTAGTTGACTGTGTATGTGTGGCTGTCCTTATGGGCTTGTCCTTCCATTCCGTTGTTCTATTTTTATGCCAGTACCCAATTGTTTTGAATTGTCTAGCTTTGTGATCTAGTTTGAAATCAGAAATGTGCTGCTTAAAGATTTGATCTTCTTTCTGAAGATGGCTTTGGCTTTAGGCTTTGGTTGACTTGGTGGCAAATGTTCCCGTGTCCTCCGAGGAGCAGGAAGCTGGAGGCTCTGCTGAGCAGGGACTGCAGTCGCACCCACCCTGTGGCAGATGGAGGTAGCCCCAGGCCTTATTTCGCACCCGTCCCCACATGTCTCTGCTAATAGCAGTCTCCAGCCGTCTTTTCTGTGTGCTTGGGCCCTCTTTTATGCTCCACTGTGTACTAGTCCGTCTTAATTGGACGGTTGAGCCCTCGGAGGCTAATGTCATTCATGGACAGCTGTTGTGTTGATTTTTCTTGGGGTTAAGGATGGTATCTCCCATTCTACCTTCCTGCTGATAACAGTTCCATAGGACATTTTTCTGTGTCCATCGTGTCCTGAGTAGCTCTAGGACACTGCTGGCGGTCGACTTGGCCTGTTTTCCTACAGCATTTCTATCTTCCTGGTATCCTGTAGTTGCTCAGCTGCGGCTTACAGGGAGGAGTGCCTTGTGTATCAAAGCATGGACATGCTCCAGACATGACCAGGTGGCGTCATAGGGAGCCTGTTTCTCATGAATGTTAGCTGGCAATGGTGTGCTATCAGGCCTGTGTTTGATCATACTGGGCAGTATGTTTGTTTGTTCAGCCAGAGTTTGGTGCCATTGCCGATGGCCACACCCCGTTTCTGTCTTTCCTTCCTCGTTGTTGACATTTTTTTGTCAAATGGATTCTACTCCTTTGGTAATTCCGTGAATTCCAGTACAGGGATAATCCCTGCATCTCAGGTGTCCACATCTCACCCATTTCTGTCACTGCTCTTTCTGCGTACCTCAACATTCACCCCCAAACATTTTGAAATGAGATATTCACGTGTCCTTAAACTGACCTTGACTGCAGTCAATTTCGTGTGATTGGATTGTGCTGCCCCCGTCTACTCAGCCAAACACCAGCAGCACAAACGGTCCTACACAAACCTTTGTGTAGGCAGAAAACAAGTTGTAGACCGTGGCTCTCTTCCTTGTGTCATACCCTAGTTTTTTGTCCTTCTGGTGTGCTCTCCATAATACTTTGACCACTCGGGCCCAGTAATGCACGTCGGCCACTCCTTCAGTTGAATTTCATCTCCTGTGTGTGGAAAAGCATGCTATACGGTCCTGCCTGGATGAGTCGGGTGCATGTATGTGATGGCTCACCCCCTCGCTATAGTCAACACAAATTTCACCAGCGCTTCTTTGCCTTCAGGTTGTTGCTGTGGAGCAGAGGATGAGGAGGCACCCTTTGCCCAGAGCACTTCTGTAGGCGTGTCACAGACCAGGACGCCCAAGGCAGCTCAGTCTTCCCGGAAGACCCACCCCTGTGAGATGTGTGGTCCAGTCTTGAGAGGCATTTTCCACTTGGCTGCGCACCAGGGAAAAGAAAACAGCCAGAGACTGTTGAGGTGTGGGGCCTGTGGGAAACGATTTTATTTCATTACTGACTTCAGAAAACATGAGAAACAGCACATGGGAGAGAAACCCTTCAGAAGCCGTGTGGACAGGGCCTCTGTTGTGAAGAGCTGGGGATTCCATGGTGCAGGAAAGCCCCTTACCTGTGGAGAAGTTCAGAAGGACTTCCTGTCTGGCTCGGGGCATCTGCAGCAAGAGGCCACTCGTACTGGGGAGAAGCCACACACGATCACCCAGTGCAGGGCAACTTTACAAAGCAGAAAAAGTCATGACCCCTGGGGAGAATGCAAGAACGCCTTTGGTCCCAAACACACACATAGTCAGGACCAGGGTGTCCACCTTGGAAGACAGTCCTTTGTGTGCAGTGAATGCGGGAAAGCATTCAGGTACAAATCTTTATTTGCCATACACCAGAGATACCATACTGGAAAAACATACGAGTTTGGTCAATGTGGAAAATCCCTTAGGCAGACACCAACCCTGAATGAACATGGAAAGACTCACAGTGCATCCAGACAGTACACGTGCAGCAAATGTGGGAAATCCTTAGGCCCTAAATCTGTCCTCATTGATCCCCAGGGATGGCACAGTGGGGTGAAGAGTTATGTTTGCAGTGGTTGTGCAAAAGCTGTGAGCTGTAGCTCAGTGTTGATTACTCATAGGGTTGAGTCTGGAGAAGGGTTTTATAAGTGTCGTGGCTGTGCAAAATCTTTTCCCTCTATGTCTGCCCTCTCACATCATCAGAGATCTCATGCAGGGAAAAGACGGTATGAGTGCAGTGATTGTGGGAAATCTTTTACCAGTAATTCTGCCCTCCGTTCTCACCAGAGAGTTCACACTGGTCAAAAGCCCTATAAATGCAATGAATGTGAGAAATCTTTTGCTGGTAGTTCTGCCCTACGTTATCACCAATCAATTCATAGTGGAGTAAGGCCTTATGTGTGCAGTGAATGTGGGAAATCTTTTGCTGGTAGTTTTATCTTACGTTATCACCAGAGAGTTCACACTGGAGAAAGGCCTTACGAGTGCAGTGAATGTGGCAAATCCTTCATCCGAAAAACAAGCCTCAATGTACACATAAAGGTTCACTCAGGTGAAAGGCCTTATGAGTGTAATGAATGTGGGAAAAATTTTACTGCTAGTTCTGCCCTTCGTCATCATCTGAGAGTTCACACTGGAGAACGGCCTTTTGAGTGCTGTGAATGTGGGAAATCTTACACTGCTCGTTCTGCCCTCCGTTCTCACCAGAGACTTCATACTGGGGAAAGGCCTTATGAGTGCAGAGAATGTGGGAAATCTTTTACTTTTAGTTCTGCCCTGTCTTCTCACCGGAGACTTCATACTGGACAAAGGCCTTATGAGTGCTGTGAATGTGGGAAATCTTACACTGCTAGTTCTACCCTCCGTTCTCATCAGAGACTTCACACTGGAGAACGTCCTTATGAGTGCCGTGAATGTGGGAAATCTTTTACCAGTAGTTCTGCCCTCCGTTATCACCAGAGACTTCACACTGGACAAAAGCCGTATAAGTGCAGTGAATGTGGCAAATCTTTTATCACTAGTAATCAACATCGTGCTCACCAGAGAGTTCACAGTGGAGAGAGGCCTTATGAGTGCCCTGAATGTGGCAAATCCTTTCCCCGAAAAGGTAGTCTCAGTGTACACAAAATGGTTCACTCAGGTGACCGGCCTTATGAGTGTAATGTATGTGCCAAATCATTTATTGCTAGTTCTGCCCTCCGTCGTCACCAGAGAGTTCACACTGGAGAAAGGCCTTATGAGTGTAATGAATGTGGGAAATCATTTACTGCTAGTTCTGCCCTCCGTTATCACCAGAGACTTCACACTGGACAAAAGCCTTATAAGTGCAGTGAATGTGGCAAATCTTTTATCACTAGTAATCAACATCGTGCTCACCAAACTGTTCACAGTGGAGAGAGGCCTTATGAATGCAGTGAATGTGGTAAATCCTTTCCCCGAAAAGATAGCCTCAGTGTACACAAAAAGGTTCACTCAGGTAAACGGCCTTATGAGTGTACTGAATGTGGGAAATCATTTACTGCTAGTTCTGCCCTCCATCGTCACCAGAGACTTCACACTGGAGAAAGGCCTTAGAGTGCCGTGAATGTGGGAAATCTTTTATCAGTCATAATGGTTTTAGATACCATTGCAGTCTTCACACTGCAGGAAGGATTTAGCATAGCACAGAAGGTGATACTTCCTTAGTATAGTTTAGGCTGGAGGACAACCTCTGAGGCAGCCACCTACCTGACTCGAACGTGGTTCACCTGAATGTCCACCGTGGAGTGACTTCCCATAAATTCCAGCTATTTTCAGAAAAACTCAGAACCTGCATTGTGCTCTCTGGTGTGCATGCAGTCATTGCAAGATGGAAGCCCCTGTCAGTGTCTGGCAGATGTCCTTTCACCTCTGCCACCTGGCGGTTCCCAATAGTGTGCATAAGTCACCACCCCAACATGGTTAATGATGCCGACCTGTCTGCTTTCTCATGTGCGCATCTAAATTATGGGTAATTGGCAGGCGAGAATTCTACCACTGAACCACCAATGCCTGGCTAAATTATGGGTAATTGGAACTCCTCATTCTGTTCTAAGTTAGGACATAAATGTGACCCAGTGTTGGTCCACAGTGGGTGATCTGAGTTCTGGGTGGTGACTTGCACAGGAAGACTAAATCCCATGGGGATGTTGTTGGTCTCGTGATGCTTTGATGACTATTTGCAACTCCCAGGTCACCACACAGGAATTGTGTGTCACGTGTTGCTCTGGTTGATGCATTAGTAAACGCCATCTTGGTTTAGTTACCTTTAATCTTGTACGTTGTGTGCACTCTAGGGGGTGGTTTGAAAGCAGGATTGGGCTCTCCCAACATGAGGGAACGAGTAGATTGCGCATCCCAGACTTGCTGTGTCTGAGAGGATAATTGCAAATAAATAAAAAATACGGACATACATATATACATAAATAATCCAGCTTCTGTGCTAATTTGCAGTATAACCCAAGACCTTTGTGATGGGCTGAATTGTTCACAGTCTCAGATGTGTCAGAGAAGAGTGAGTCATGGAATCAACTAGGGAGCTGGACAGCAACGTTTGGGAAACTGGGGGAAGGTTTCAGGATGGAGGGTTTGAAAAGTGATGGCTGCTGTGTGGCCCGGGTGGAGATCTGGATCACAATTAGGAAGGGAATGCAGAGTGTAACAGCAATGCCCCTAGTAGGTCAAGTATCCTACTAAGAGGTGCGGAAGAGTGGTTCTCTTGCGTGACATGTGGTTGTGGTTGATGGGCATTGTCAACATGAGTGAAGGAGAGAGAAAGATCTGGCAGATGATGGCCAAGGTTCCTTGGGATGATTGGAAGAGATGGGTGAGGACATCTAAGATGGAGACAAGGTGACAGTGAGGCTGGGGCTGCTCTCTGTTCCGCGTTCTAGGGCTTCACCAGAATCTTGGTCAGCTTTTATGGTGTCTGGGGTGTTTCAGAGTTTTCTGCTAGAAAATGTCTGGGGAAAATGTCATTTGTGGTTCGCTGTGCCTGGCAAGGAGACCCTTAGGGCTGGGGTTTTCACAAAGGTTCAGTAGAGGATGGTTGGTTCCCGATGGTGGAGGGACAGAATGGGCAGCAGAGAAGTAGAAGAGGGTCTGTGAGTATCCGAAGTTGACAGTGGTTGTGAGTGTCTGTTGTTGAAGGGAGGATTACAGGCAGGTGAGGAGGGCTTCTCAGCAGCATTTGGGGCTTTCCCTCATTTGGGATCCCTGAGAGTCCTGGGGTGGGACTGGAACCTGTTTGAGTTTGTCAAACATCCTTTGGATGTCATGTGACAAGCACAAGTGTGAGTCAAGGGAGGATCCTTTGGTGTGGGGAGGAAGGTGTGGGAGTTCATCTGTGGGGCCTGAAGACGTGAGAGTGGTACAGTCTACAGAATCCTGTACACATGGAGGGGAAGTGTGAGCTAAAGGCCTCAGCGCCCAGGTACTGAAGACTTCCGGGTAAAGCAGGGCCTATAATTGGCTGTCTTGAGGGCACAACTGGGAGACTCCATGGGAATATCGTGGCAGAGGGATGGGACCTTGCAGGCCAAACCCAGAGCTTAGAGTGCATCTCCCTGTCCCCCTGCCTGTTACTGCTGATTACTGAATGCAGTGATGGATGGGAAGGTGAGAGGAGAGCAGCATTAGAGGCACCAGGACCTGGTATTTATTCTGAGGTGGGGAGACTGGGGTGGATGTTTGGGGGGTTGTATTATGTGTTTTCAGATAAAAAATGTTCATGGTTTCATCTGTCCCTTTCATGAAAGGGTGGTGTGACCTTTGAGGACATTTCCTACACTTTTCCTATCATCATTCATTTCATAGATGGCCCAGTAGAGAAAACTGTTATGTTTGCAGTGGATGTGAAAAATCTCTTATCCATAGCTCAGTGTTGATTACTAATAGGGTTCAACTTGGGGAAAGGCCTTGTAAGTGTAGTGACTATGCCAGATCTTTTACCTCTTTGTCTGCCCCCTATGCCCCCCATTATCATTGGAGATCTCAGAGCGGGGAAATTCCGTATGTCTGCAGTGAATGTTGGAAGTCTTTTATCGCCAGGACTGGCTTCTTTTCTCACTAGAGTTTACACTGGGTAAAGGTCTTATGTGTTCAGTGACTGTGGAAGATCCTTTCTCCAGAGAAACAATCTCATTGTACACCTAAAACTTTACTGAGGTGAACGACCTTTTAAGTGTAATGTTTGTGGGAAATGTGTTAGTTTTTTTATAGATTTATTTATTTATTTTATAGAGGGAGAGAACATTGAGGCGAGGGCCAAATGGAGAGAATCTTCAAGCTGTCACCTGCTGAGCTTGGGGCCGGAATTGGAGCTTGATCCCATGGCCCATGAGATCATGACCTGAGCTGAAATAAAGAGTTGGACACTTAACAAATTGAGCCACCAAGGTGCCCCAGATATGAGAAATCTTTTAAGTAGATGGCAACATTCATTCACCACCAGAGAATTTACACAAGAGAAAGGTGTATGAGTGCAACAAATGTGGGAAATCTCTTATTGGTCATACTGCTCTTAATTATCATCAAAGAGTTCACACTCGAGAAGGGCGTTAGAAGTGCTGGGGATGTAGAAAATCTTTCAGCCAAAGCTCCAGTCTCATTAAACCACAAAGTATATAGTTGATCAAGTCCTTATGAGTGATATTATAAACTGAATCTTTATGTTCACTAAAATTCATATGTTAAATTCCTATCCTCTACTGCGATAGGGTTAGGAATTAAGGTGATGTCTTTGGGAGGGAATTGCAATTAGAATGTGGCATGAGTGTGGAGCCCTCATGAATGCGATTATTGTCCTCAGAAGAGTTCTGAGAGAGCT